TTATAGCATTGTAAAAGCCGATGCAATGACGGATGAGTTACTAACCTCCGTTATCCAAACAGAAGAAGTCAGTATCTGTTCCTTCTCATTCTACAAAAATCAAGTTATTTGAATATATAGGATGACAAACGAAAGCGTATTAAATGGATGATAAATTAAATGTATGCACCTGAAATCTGTCTTACTAAAGCAAACATTATTATGCCTTTTTCAACTGATTTTTATAATTTGTTGTTATGTTGTGCTGTTACACCACTGTCCCAGTTAGGTGTAGGGTTGAGCGCTTACAAACATGTTTAACCCACAACATTCTTTATGTGCCTGTCCCAAGTTAGGAGCCTGTAGTTCAGTGGTTGTCGTTGGTTCATGCATGTCTGTCATATTTGTTTTTCGTAAATTGTTTTGTTATATATGCCGTTGGTTTTCACAATTGAATTGTTTCATATTTTTCATGTCGGGGCCTTTTAAAGTCGACTATACAGTATGGGGTTTTCTCATTGTTGAAGGCTGTACGGTTGCTTATAATTGCTTACATCCGCTTTATTTGAACTTTGGTGGATAGTTGTCTCATTGGCAATCATACCTCATCTCCTTATTTTTATATTAATATATTAATAGTGACCGATGACCTTTTTTGAAACCTTGATATTTGAATTTTACATGGTAATTTATATACCAAAATTCATAATAAACAGGTCGACTTTCTAATTGTTAATTTTCTCTTCCTTAACATAATTAAAGGGTGATGAATCGTTTTCTCCTTCTTATTTGCTTATGGAGTGTGTATTTTTCAGTTGGTTCGATATGCGCGTGTTTGTAGTAAAGTCTTGGATTTCAATTAAGAATTGAATGTTTTTGTAATTTTATTGGGATGTAAAAGCGTTGACCGAAGCACATTTTTTTCATGAAGCGCGGAAGCGCTTCGTATAAAAATGTGCGCACGATCAACGCTTCTTCAACCCTATAAAATTACGAAAAAGCATTTAATTTTTATAATAACATGTTAATGCTACAATCGTGAAATAACGAGTTATATCACATTTTTCTTTTGTTTTCCTATGCATTGTTGTGTCAATGTCACGGGAAGCACGTACATGCTGTCATGAATGTCCAATTTTATTTGGAAATAAAATCTAATTTTTGTAGTCAGCCAATCGAAAGTACAGATTCTTATGAAACAAAAATGTAACGTAATATTGATCGTTCTATTTTCATAAGTAAAAAGCTTTTACAGCATGAATATATATCGTCTTAGATTGCTCTGACATCTGACGGCCTTTTGTAGAACTTTTTGGGGTCGTGGGATGTCATAGCGCAGTCAATATTGAAAACATGGAATTTGCGACGTAGACTTTGGGCGGCAAGCTTCTGTCTCGAAATCATAAAGATTCCATTTTTATTTAGATAAATCATACATAGGGATATTTCGCATTTAGCTTTAAACGGTTATATTGTTTATCAAGCTAGAAACTTTAGGAACTGTCCTTCGAATGTGTCTCAATGGCTTAATAAACTTATTTAAGTGATAAAGACTGATAACGGTTATGATTGTTGTTCAATCATTGTGGGACGTTAAGGGCATACGATAAAGTTTTGATCCCACGGTGAATTTTTGACGAAAATTTGCATACAAGCTATAATTTTTCACCTAGGAAATTCAAATATGTATTAAAAACATACCTTCATGTGCTACTTTTAGAAATAAATGGGGTCAAAATTTTAGACATTTACTCAAAATTCCGGTTTCTTGGACATTTCTATCCTTTAAATTTGTACAGACATACCTAACTTTTTAGTTTCAAAAGATAAACACAAGCGGGTTTATGTTAAAACATTTTTAATATCTTCTTTTCATAAGTATGCTTTAAATTTGTGTAACAATCTTTTTTTTTATTAAATGTTCATGATTTTAGGAAAAATAGGCATTGTTCATGTATATTTATCTAATTTAAAAAAAAATCATCGGTGATTTGCTCTTAAAACTTTGTACAAATAATCGTCATACATAATCAAGTCAAATGTCATTTTTTAAGAAGAGGGGTTCATGTATTCGTATTCAAGCTAAATAAATGATTTTTAAGAAATCTGTCGAGAATGCATCTTTTCCTAATATGTCACAGTTTGACGTCGCGAAAAAATACATTTTACGTTAGCAACGTCATTACATCCACTGTAACTGTATCGTATGCGCTTAAAAAGCAATCAATAATCAAATCAAATTAATCCCTGCGTCTCATAATTTTTGGCCTAAAAAATTAAAAATAATGGGGTGCTAAAATATATAACATGGACTTAAGCAATCGTATTTTTTTCTTTTCTTCATCACTGAAATACTGAAATATGCATGCAATATCTACCACTATAGACGTTATGAAAACTAAAAACAGTCAATCTTTAGAAACATGAAATACTAAGAACTGGACGTTTATAATTATCTAATCAATAGAGTCTAATTAACTCTATAGTAATTCAAAGGGTCGGAAACGTTTGCAGTCTATCCCGGAAATGGCCTGATATTGACAGCTAGAAAAGAGGAAAACAATAGTGATCGAAAATTTTCCTTACAAGTCATTTATAGCTCAATTCGAAGACTTTTTGACTCTATCAAACAACGTTACATATAAGTCAATTAATACATTATACTATTTAAAATCTTGAAATAGAAAATAGATCTCACCAAATCAAGAACTTGGTTTAACGCAACGCCAAATTTCACCACAACTGGAATGTTGGCTGATTTTGTTGGTCTTGGTGAAGTGCTATAATTCTGAAATAATTCTCTATACAGTGTTTTTTCTGTTCCCTCTATTTTTTCTTTTTCTACAAGCAAAACATTATCTTGATAAGTTATATTAATAACGTTTCTGAGGTCAGATGTCTCCTCAGTCCATGTCAGTCCTGGTATAAGAATGCATATCAGAGCTCATTTAAAATGTGTTGCAGTAGACAGCTGAGGTCTCTGTCCTAGGTTTATATGGTTTGAGGGATGATACGAAGGTCGAATTGGAAATTGTCACGTAAATGAAATAAAGCACACTAGCTATGTCGCGGCGAGAGCAATATCTCTAAAAATATCATATCCAAAATAAAACAGTGAAAAATACAGTTGTACAAAATAGATAAAAAAAATGTTGTTTAAAAACTAGTCAACAATGTTCTTCTCGACATTTATTATTACTAAATAAAATCGAAATTCGACATTAATTAACTTAATTTGTTTAATATTCTAACGAAATGATATTTTCAAAATTTTGCCCAGACCTAGTACATTATATCTGTTCAAGCATTTTCTTTTGTATGCAAATACGATTTGTCTAGTAGATTCTATCTTTCCTGGAAGGAAAATTGTTGCTAAACGACTGGGTTCCTTTGGTCTACAGTGTATATAGACTTGCATTAGTTTTTTTGCGAACCTCATCTTTATAACATATTCTTGTTTAAATTCTGTAAATAATAGAATGACACTTACCAGAGTAGATCAGAGGAAAAAAGTTGATCACCAAGATTGTAAAAATAAAAGTACGCGATTCCTCCATTTTGAAGAAATAAGAAATCAACAACATTCAGAAGTTTAATAATGTGTAGCAGATGATTGAAGGAAATGTTGATATCAGATTATTATATATCTTGTACGTAAAATTCTTCAACTAAGTTTGCAAAATATTGCTATGGATACCAATAACATGTGCTAATTCTATATTTACACCTGTAAATTAACTTTATTTCAAATCATGTTATTATATAAATAAGAAGATGTGGTATGACTGCCAATGATATAACTCTCCATTGACATAGAAGTAAGCACCTATATTATATGTCAACGTACGGCTTTCGACAATGAGCAAAATGCATACCACACAGCAAGCCTTGAAGACAAATAGATAACATTTATAATATTGCTACACAGGCAATTTTCCTCAACGTGTGTTTAACTTTGTGCACATAACATTCTCACGTGATAATCACGTTTTTAACATTCACGTGGCTTTCATTTAAATTCAACATTAAAAAAACATCGAAAGTTTTATACGTGATTTGGATGTGTTTATATCGAGTTTATTTTTTTACGTTATTGTAACGTGTTGATGTTGTGTTAAGTTCAAAATATATTAATTTTTTCAGGTGATTTCACGTGTCAATTTCATATCAATATCAGATGAATTGCATATGAAAGTTCAAGTTATTTTCTCTTTAAAATTATTTATAACGTGAATATCACCCGTTGCTACTTTTATATCACGATGTGAGCCTACGGTTACAAGAGCGCAATTATTTGTAATGCATTTTCCATAGGACCCCAGTGGTATTCAAAAATTTATTTCTTGAAGAATAAACAAACTAGATAAAAATGGGTAGCAGTTCCTGTGACTATAGATGTCAGCCTTTTATTACAGCAAAAAAAAAGTATATGGTCATGCGGCAAAAAGTGCCCTAAAATGCAGTTGTTATGGAAGCTTCCAAATTCCGCACTAAATTGGAAAGGTTAATTTTAAATGGCTCCTCAGTTAATAAAAAAATTATATCTTCTACACATTGTGAATTATGAATTTAATTTTCACCTAGAATCATGTGCAAAACAGTGTAGCCGAGACCATTGATTGGCGCGCTAAAATATCCCATTGATTAGGTGAACGTTCGTCTTTAACGCCCACAACTCACGACGTATTTATTATAAACATTTAAACTGTGGGGTCACCAAAGGGTCTCAACGCAACAGAAACATATTCAGCTTTTTTTTTAATCGACCCAATTTACATAGTAATGGACGACTCCGTACATTTTATGATCGCAAATAAAATATGTATATAATATACTGTGCACTGTAGTTCGTATATATACTGAGACCCTTTGGCAACCCCACAGTATAAATGTTTATAATAAATACGTCGTGAGTTGTGGGCGTTACAGACGAACGTTCACCTAATCTGACCCAGTCAATGGGATATTTTAGCGCGCCAATCAATGGTCTCGGCTACACTGTTTTGCACATGATTCTATTTTCAAACCTAAATGGATAAGCTTTCAAATAAAAAATAATTCCAACCTGCATCATCCAATCAGGAGCCTCAAAGTTTTTTATTCTGAGTACCATCTTGGGGTAAAAATTTTGCCGGTTGAATGTAAACAAATAATTGCGCTCTTGTAACCTATAGAAAGAATAAAATTGACTCGAATCAGGACAAAAATGTATCTGTTAAACACAGAACTTATATTAGGAAGAAATACCAAGTTTGGAAGAAATTGGTTGAGTTACTTAAGAAAAACTACCATATGAAGGAGCAACCCGTGCCTTGCGGCCACAGAGGAATTTCATCTACAGATTTCAAGAATGCTGTCATGAAAATAAAAAAATTACCATTAAATAACATTAAAAGTTCATTTGTTTAGTGTTTTTGTTTATAAAATTACCATTTCTCTTTATGCATGTACAAGTTGAATCAAATGTTCATTCAGGGTGGATTCTACCCTTACTTTTCTTAAAGTTGTCAAAATTAGCCAAATTTTGAACTTTTTGTCATATATTTTTGAAAATAAAGTGTACTGAAGATGCACTCTGGATCTTTATCATTTATATTTTTATTACTGAAGATAAGAGATACAGGAATGATAGCAATTAAAAGTGGTTGTCTTCATAGTGGCTATAAAAAAATCCAAAGTTTATCATATGGCCTGTTTAGAGAATTTGTCAAATTCTGAGGGAGGCATGTGCTCAATCTCAAATATTTTTAATTACTGAATGAACTTTCCATTCAACTTGTATTGCAAAAAGATAAAATACTGTCCTACTTTACAAGGGTATATAAAAACTTTACAAACACTAAAAAATTAAAGTGAAAACTGTACAATTCCAATATGTCTGGGTTCAAAAAAGGAAATATCTTTAAATTTAAGGCTGGAAGTATACCTCATAACAAAAAAAGGACTAAACTATTGCCAGTGAAAAGTGACTATGACACACCTAAATATACAAGACTTACCATGAAAAAGTACAATTTAGTAGTAAATGATCCATACACTGATCCAGAGGAAAAAGCCAGGCGGTCTGCTCGTGCGGCCAAACTACTGCGACCAAAGTCTGATGAGGTCTCTGTTCCAAAAAAAAACAGGAATCCTGCTGTAAATGACAAAAGGTAAGGCAAAAATATATAATCTAACTTTTAAATAGAGAAAACAGTTACAGATGAACAATTAAGAAATATCACAGTACAAAATAGGTCTAAAACTGCTAAAATATATTGAAAATTCACAAAATTTCACATTTCTTACACTAAAAATATATTAAACTGGAATTTACTCTGTCTTTTCCTTCTATAATTAAGTAGTTTTATGTTTTGTTTAAATGAAAAAGAGATAATTAGCCCTATAAAACTATGTTAAAATGTCCAACAGTCAGTTTAAAAAATTTCATACCCAAGCAAGGGGCAGGTAACTCTAATTCAGAAAAATTATTTGTTGAAAATATTCTTGATACAGGTGTAAATGTGCAATTTTTTGTGTTTTTTCAGGCCTGACTTCTATTCTTATCGTACGGTGTGTGTTTACAAGATGGAAGAAATGTGGAACAAGGCCTTTAGGGAGCACCAGCAAAAAAGTCCTGCCTGTGAGGGTAAACTATCATGCGATTTAGAGAAAGAGGAGAAAAGAGGATTCTCTTCTCGCCAGAATTTGATTTGTACAAGTTGCAGTTATATATCGGATAAGTTTAGCTTATACGAAGAATTAGAAACAGGAAAGCCAGGCAGAAAACCATCAAAACTAGATACAGCTGTACATGTTGGCCTGAGTCAGACACCAATAGCTTCCTCCAGTATGCGCAAAATCATTCTAAGTGGTAATATGCAGGCACCAGCAGCATCCAGTCTACAAAGAAGGGCAAATAAAGTACTTAAAAACATTGTAGATGTGAATAAAATGGACCTGAGAAAAAGAAAAAATGAAATTATTGAAATCAATCGCCTCAGAGGGAAGGAAGATCCAAACACAATCAGTGTGCAGATGGACGGAATGTATAACAATCCGCTGTATTCCGGTGTTGGACGCACTCCATTTCAGCCTGCAACACAAACTGTCTATACCACAGCTGAAAATATAACAACAGACCATAATATACTAAGCATAAATATAAAAAATAAGCTTTGTTCAATACATTCAAGCCTTGAGGTGGATCCTGACTCAGGCCGTTTACATGCACAGTGTACAGATGAATGTAGTGCCAACATTCCAATGGTCAAAAGTATTGGGGATGAATATACATGGGCCAAAGAGTGTATCCTTGATCTTAAGGCAGACAACATTGAGGTTGAGCACCTGGTTACTGATCCTGACAGCTCTGCATACAGGGCTGCACAAGACTTGTATGAAGAAGGCACAACAAGTACTCAGCCTGAACATTTTCTTGATACACGGCATGTGTCTGAGAATATCCGTAAGCGTACGAAGAATGATAAGAACCTGTTACAGATTATGCCAGCAAGAACACAAGTGAAGAGACAAAAACTACTGAATTGTTTTTCAGTGGATTTGACAGAAAGGTGTAATGCCGAGCTGGCTCAGGCAAGGAAAATTTACAGTGGAAACTTTCAAAAAATCAAATATAAAATATCGCATGTCGTTGACGCAATTGTCAACTGTTACACTGGAAATCATTCGTCGTGTAAAAAACATTCATTTTTATGTAATGGATTACAGAAAGTATGGCTTAGAGGAAGGTCACTACTACCAAAAACATTCAAAATTGCACACTCACAGCAAAATATAGACTTTATAAGAAAGACAGTCAACCTGCGTCTTGGCCCAAATATACTTGAGAAGACCAGACTTAACATGAACACTAATTTTGTTGAGGGATTTAACCGTAGCCTGAGGCGTTCTTTACCGTCAAATGTTACTTTTAAAAGAAATGTTACCGGTCGTGCTCATTCAGCTGCATACAGTGTTAATTTTGGTCCAGGAGAATCAGTTCTAGAACTTTGTACTGCTCTTCATTGTGAAGTCCCAGTGGGAGGCTCTGCATACAAGGCTCTAAAAGAAATACAAAAAGTTGACATTTTACAAAAACAGCACAAAAAGACTATGCAATACAAGCAATTTAGAAGTGATAAAAGGGCTAAACTGTACAAACTGTATGAAAAACTAAGTGAAATAATAGAATATGAAAAAAATATGTTGCTAAAATGTGATCAAGGACTGAAATCTACTCCGCAGAAACATAGTGACCATTCATACAGCAGAAATGACCGAAAGAGAAAAAGATCTGTTAGAAAATAAATATTTATTTATTAAATTACATATTAAACAATATGGCTTGTGACTTTTAGAGCAATGGCCCTGATTTTTACAATGTAGGCGGTCTTGATTTATAGCATGAGGTTCAATAGTTATGTGTTCAGGATTGACACAGAGAGTTTGGTGACAAATATGGCTACATTCTACTTTATTGTTGTTCTCATCTATTTGTGGCATATCATATCTTGTCAATCTATGCTTAATCATGTATGCCAGTCTATGTGCAGCCTCCCTTTTTTCCTCTCCCCCTGGCCATTTCACAACCTGTATGCCATAACAAGATTTTCCCTTTTTTGCTCCGACCCATTCAACACATTCCTTCCCATCCCCCATAACTTCAGTTTTCTTAAAAAATTTGAGTCCAATATCGTCCCAAAAGGCATCCATTGTAACAGAGTATTGATCCAAATCACTCGTGTGTTTTAAAAAGTTCCAAAAATACTTAGTTTTTGAAAGTGAAAGTAAAAGTCCATTTTCAGTATAGAAAGAATAAAATTGACTCGAATCAGGACAAAAATGTATCTGTTAAACACAGAACTTATATTAGGAAGAAATACCAAGTTTGGAAGAAATTGGTTGAGTTACTTAAGAAAAACTACCCTATGAAGGAGCAACCCGTGCCTTGCGGCCACAGAGGAATTTCATCTACAGATTTCAAGAATGCTGTCATGAAAATAAAAAAATTACCATTAAATAACATTAAAAGTTCATTTGTTTAGTGTTTTTGTTTATAAAATTACCATTTCTCTTTATGCATGTACAATTTGAATCAAATGTTCATTCAGGGTGGATTCTACCCTTACTTTTCTTAAAGTTGTCAAAATTAGCCAAATTTTGAACTTTTTGTCATATATTTTTGAAAATAAAGTGTACTGAAGATGCACTCTGGATCTTTATCATTTATATTTTTATTACTGAAGATAAGAGATACAGGAATGATAGCAATTAAAAGTGGTTGTCTTCATAGTGGCTATAAAAAAATCCAAAGTTTATCATATGGCCTGTTTAGAGAATTTGTCAAATTCTGAGGGAGGCATGTGCTCAATCTCAAATATTTTTAATTACTGAATGAACTTTCCATTCAACTTGTATTGCAAAAAGATAAAATACTGTCCTACTTTACAAGGGTATATAAAAACTTTACAAACACTAAAAAATTAAAGTGAAAACTGTACAATTCCAATATGTCTGGGTTCAAAAAAGGAAATATCTTTAAATTTAAGGCTGGAAGTATACCTCATAACAAAAAAAGGACTAAACTATTGCCAGTGAAAAGTGACTATGACACACCTAAATATACAAGACTTACCATGAAAAAGTACAATTTAGTAGTAAATGATCCATACACTGATCCAGAGGAAAAATCCAGGCGGTCTGCTCGTGCGGCCAAACTACTGCGACCAAAGTCTGATGAGGTCTCTGTTCCAAAAAAAAAACAGGAATCCTGCTGTAAATGACAAAAGGTAAGGCAAAAATATATAATCTAACTTTTAAATAGAGAAAACAGTTACAGATGAACAATTAAGAAATATCACAGTACAAAATAGGTCTAAAACTGCTAAAATATATTGAAAATTCACAAAATTTCACATTTCTTACACTAAAAATATATTAAACTGGAATTTACTCTGTCTTTTCCTTCTATAATTAAGTAGTTTTATGTTTTGTTTAAATGAAAAAGAGATAATTAGCCCTATAAAACTATGTTAAAATGTCCAACAGTCAGTTTAAAAAATTTCATACCCAAGCAAGGGGCAGGTAACTCTAATTCAGAAAAATTATTTGTTGAAAATATTCTTGATACAGGTGTAAATGTGCAATTTTTTGTGTTTTTTCAGGCCTGACTTCAATTCTTATCGTACGGTGTGTGTTTACAAGATGGAAGAAATGTGGAACAAGGCCTTTAGGGAGCACCAGCAAAAAAGTCCTGCCTGTGAGGGTAAACTATCATGCGATTTAGAGAAAGAGGAGAAAAGAGGATTCTCTTCTCGCCAGAATTTGATTTGTACAAGTTGCAGTTATATATCGGATAAGTTTAGCTTATACGAAGAATTAGAAACAGGAAAGCCAGGCAGAAAACCATCAAAACTAGATACAGCTGTACATGTTGGCCTGAGTCAGACACCAATAGCTTCCTCCAGTATGCGCAAAATCATTCTAAGTGGTAATATGCAGGCACCAGCAGCATCCAGTCTACAAAGAAGGGCAAATAAAGTACTTAAAAACATTGTAGATGTGAATAAAATGGACCTGAGAAAAAGAAAAAATGAAATTATTGAAATCAATCGCCTCAGAGGGAAGGAAGATCCAAACACAATCAGTGTGCAGATGGACGGAATGTATAACAATCCGCTGTATTCCGGTGTTGGACGCACTCCATTTCAGCCTGCAACACAAACTGTCTATACCACAGCTGAAAATATAACAACAGACCATAATATACTAAGCATAAATATAAAAAATAAGCTTTGTTCAATACATTCAAGCCTTGAGGTGGATCCTGACTCAGGCCGTTTACATGCACAGTGTACAGATGAATGTAGTGCCAACATTCCAATGGTCAAAAGTATTGGGGATGAATATACATGGGCCAAAGAGTGTATCCTTGATCTTAAGGCAGACAACATTGAGGTTGAGCACCTGGTTACTGATCCTGACAGCTCTGCATACAGGGCTGCACAAGACTTGTATGAAGAAGGCACAACAAGTACTCAGCCTGAACATTTTCTTGATACACGGCATGTGTCTGAGAATATCCGTAAGCGTACGAAGAATGATAAGAACCTGTTACAGATTATGCCAGCAAGAACACAAGTGAAGAGACAAAAACTACTGAATTGTTTTTCAGTGGATTTGACAGAAAGGTGTAATGCCGAGCTGGCTCAGGCAAGGAAAATTTACAGTGGAAACTTTCAAAAAATCAAATATAAAATATCGCATGTCGTTGACGCAATTGTCAACTGTTACACTGGAAATCATTCGTCGTGTAAAAAACATTCATTTTTATGTAATGGATTACAGAAAGTATGGCTTAGAGGAAGGTCACTACTACCAAAAACATTCAAAATTGCACACTCACAGCAAAATATAGACTTTATAAGAAAGACAGTCAACCTGCGTCTTGGCCCAAATATACTTGAGAAGACCAGACTTAACATGAACACTAATTTTGTTGAGGGATTTAACCGTAGCCTGAGGCGTTCTTTACCATCAAATGTTACTTTCAAAAGAAATGTTACCGGTCGTGCTCATTCAGCTGCTCACAGTGTTAATTTTGGTCCAGGAGAATCAGTTCTAGAACTTTGTACTGCTCTTCATTGTGAAGTCCCAGTGGGAGGCTCTGCATACAAGGCTCTAAAAGAAATACAAAAAGTTGACATTTTACAAAAACAGCACAAAAAGACTATGCAATACAAGCAATTTAGAAGTGATAAAAGGGCTAAACTGTACAAACTGTATGAAAAACTAAGTGAAATAATAGAATATGAAAAAAATATGTTGCTAAAATGTGATCAAGGACTGAAATCTACTCCGCAGAAACATAGTGACCATTCATACAGCAGAAATGACCGAAAGAGAAAAAGATCTGTTAGAAAATAAATATTTATTTATTAAATTACATATTAAACAATATGGCTTGTGACTTTTAGAGCAATGGCCCTGATTTTTACAATGTAGGCGGTCTTGATTTATAGCATGAGGTTCAATAGTTATGTGTTCAGGATTGACACAGAGAGTTTGGTGACAAATATGGCTACATTCTACTTTATTGTTGTTCTCATCTATTTGTGGCATATCATATCTTGTCAATCTATGCTTAATCATGTATGCCAGTCTATGTGCAGCCTCCCTTTTTTCCTCTCCCCCTGGCCATTTCACAACCTGTATGCCATAACAAGATTTTCCCTTTTTTGCTCCGACCCATTCAACACATTCCTTCCCATCCCCCATAACTTCAGTTTTCTTAAAAAATTTGAGTCCAATATCGTCCCAAAAGGCATCCATTGTAACAGAGTATTGATCCAAATCACTCGTGTGTTTTAAAAAGTTCCAAAAATACTTAGTTTTTGAAAGTGAAAGTAAAAGTCCATTTTCAGTATAGGTTACAAGAGCGCAATTATTTGTAATGCATTTTCCATAGGACCCCAGTGGTATTCAAAAATTTATTTCTTGAAGAATAAACAAACTAGGTAAAAATGGGTAGCAGTTCCTGTGACTATAGATGTCAGCCTTTTATTACAGCAAAAAAAAAGTATATAGTCATGCGGCAAAAAAGTGCCCTAAAATGCAGTTGTTATGGAAGCTTCCAAATTCCGCACTAAATTGGAAAGGTTAATTTTAAATGGCTCCTCAGTTAATAAAAAAATTATATCTTCTACACATTGTGAATTATGAATTTAATTTTCACCTATTTTCAAACCTAAATGGATAAGCTTTCAAATAAAAAATAATTCCAACCTGCATCATCCAATCAGGAGCCTCAAAGTTTTTTATTCTGAGTACCATCTTGGGGTAAAAATTTTGCCGGTTGAATGTAAACAAATAATTGCGCTCTTGTAACCCTACGTAAATTGTATAGTATTTGTCTGCTTGGTTAATGTGCTAAGAATATCACGTGACTCTTATGATGGAATCAGGTCGAAGAAAACTGCAAGTGTCCGACACATTATATTAGCATTTTATGGGTGACATATCCGTGTTATTATAAAAAATATCGTATTAGACAAACTTCAGATCTCTATACATGCTTTATAAGCCATTGAAAATATGTTATTAACCAGTTTAATTTGTCTCATTGGTGCTATCTTTAATCAAACATGTACAATGACACCCGATGTATAAATATTTTCCCATTTCGCTTGAATGTAATTTTCGTATTAAACTTTTTGTCGAGTATGAATTTGTGGTGTAAACAACAATATTTCCTGTGAAAACAAAAACAAATACGTGCTGAAATTTCAATGTACCATGCGATTCTTATCAAAACAAACAGACTAATAGTCCCATTAAAAGAAACGTGGCAACATCCAATACATGTATGCATGTACGTACAAATAACTAACTAAAATCAATTATTATATTTACTTACAAATACATTTTTTATTTGTTATCAACGGATTATTTGTTAAAAAAAAACATGCGTAATAGATATCAATTTATATTTATAATTGAAATCTTTTATTTGCATAGTATTTTGTCTCGCCTGCGATAAAGTCGCAGAATGGGAGACATAGGTACATGTATTACAATCTGGTGGCAGTGGCGGCGACGACGGCGGCGACGTTATAAACTATTCGTTTAAGGGCATACGGTATAGTTTTGATCCAACGGTGATTTTTTTTACGAAAATTTGCATACAAGGTATTTTCCAACTAGTCAATTCAAATATGTAATAAAAATATACCTTCATGTGCTACTTTTAAAGATAAATGGCGTCGAAATTTTAGACGTTTACCCAAAATGTCGGTTTCTTGGACATTTCTATCCTTTTTGATAGACATTCCTATCTTTTTTGTTTTAAAAGATAAACACAAGCAAATTTTTGTAAAATCATTTAGAATATCTTCTCTACAATGCTCTAGATTTAAGTAACAATTTTTTGGAAATGATTCATTTTTATTAAAGTTTCATGATTTAGAAAAAAAAACGACATTTTTTTGCTGTATATTTATCGAATTAAAAAAAAATATCATCGGTGATTTTTTCATAAAAACTGGTACAAGTAATCTTTATGCACAATCAAACCAAATGCCATTTGAAAAATGAGGGGTCAATGTGCTCATTTTCAAGCTTTTGATTAAAATCAGTCGAAAATTACATCTTTTCCCTATATGTCACCATTTGAAGTCGAAAAAAATAACATTTTACATTAGTAACGTCATTACTTCCCTTGTAACTGTATCGTATGCCCTTAAAAGCTATATATTTCAGAAGGTAGAAAACCTGGATGCTTCATACATTGCGTTCAGATACCTTCTATCACGATGTTTCCGTATTTCATATGTCTATTGTCCTTGACCTCATTTTCATTGTTCAGTGACTGCTTGAAAAATTAATACAGTTTGTTTGTTAAATGAACTACTCACTTATTATGAGTAATAAGATATCTGTATTTGGTATATGGGTTCCTTGCAACGTCTATATGTCCGTCAGCTGACCTAGACCTTATTCCATGGTTCGTTGAACAATGTTTAGTTTTTGTGGTTTGGTCTATTTCTCAGATACTATAAGCAATATGTCCACTATATTTAGTGTATGGAATGATTGTCAGTTGTATAGGTCTTTCTAGTAGGTTTCATCTGACCTCGACCTCATTTTCATGGTTCATTGGACAATTTCTAGTTTTTGTGGTTTGGTCTATTTCTCAGATATTATAAGCAATAAGTCAATTATATTAGTAAAATTAAGAATGGAAATGGGGAATGTGTCAAAGAGACAACAACCCGACCATAGAGCAGACAACAGCCGAAGTGTATTGAAATAATTGTGAAGTGTACATGTCTGTCTGTCAGGGTTCATATGACCTTGACCTCATTTCATGGTACATTGGCCAATGATAAGTTTTCGTAGGTTTGTCAGTTTATCAGATACTATAACAGGTCAAGTATTTTTTTTATGTATGGAATGATGTGAAATGATGGACCTGTATGTTTGTTTATTATAGCGTTAACTTTCAAATATTGGCTGAAACATGAAGTTTTGTCGAGAACGCCTTTATCATGAAAATGTACTATCATCATATCGTAACTTATTTCTTGGTAAAAAGGCGAAATTCAGGTAGATAAAAATTGTAGTTTTTTCTTCCATTTCTCTGTCCGTATAGTAGACTTTGATATGTATGGTGGTTCGCTTCCAAACTGATCCATTTTGACAAATGTGGTTGCTTTTATCGGACTACAAAATGTAATTTAATTTTTGGACTACGAAGTGTGATTAAATTTTTCACAAATTTAGAGACCACAAAAGGCTTCGTGTGATCCGGCTACAGCACTTAAAAATCTCTTTTTTCACACAGTTATCTTTTCTGAAAATGTAGTTCTTTACAAACATTAAATTACTTCAAAATTTTGACATCGTTATTGAATGGTCTGCTGCTCTTCAAAAATAAATAAAGTGCTAAGCTCAGTCAGTTATTAACAATAGCATATCATCCCCATGAGATTTGTAATTTGCATTCATCATTTGTGTTCATCATTTTGAGACGCATTTTGGATATTGTCACATCTACGTATGTGATATGGTGTTTGTATAATTAATTTGTCTTATATTGATTAATATCCTGTAAGTTTTTTTTTGCTTTCGGAATAAAGTATTCTAATTATTATGAATGAAAACAAGCATATAGCGATTGAGACTTTGTATTTAATTCATTGAATGTTTTGTAGTCGAGAAAGCGACAGAGATAAGTTCTTACTTTGAATAAAAATAAATGTCTTGCCAAGTTTCTAACGTAAATTTACCTGTATACACATACAGCAGACTAAAGCATGGAAACGATAGGCTCACTTATACCATGTTGCTTCCCTGGAAAAGTTAGGAAGTCTATAAGGAGATAAGGCAAGATTAAACTTAAGATTCAAAAGTGTACATATTGCCAAGCAGTCTGAAAAAAAAATGCAAAAGTAACACAACATTTTTAGTTACTAGAAGTGATTTATTTTTCGTAAATTATCAATTTTCCCATTGATTCAAACACTCATTAAATTGCATGTTTTTATTTTGTAATGAAACAGGAAATAAATGTGGTAAGTATATTTTATGTAGTTGTCGTTAAGCATTTTATATGAAATACTTTCTTTCTTGTTCAACAAGGTATATAGACATGGAACTGTATATGTTAGTTCATAAATATGCAATTTCACTTTAAGATGTCCACGATATTTGTATTGCAAAAATATAAAGATCCTACATGTAGTAACCCGAAAACATGTAACACTAGTTACCAAACATAAATGCCTAATATTTAAACAATTTTGTTTTATTATTTTTTACTGCGAAATGTTATTTATTGGTTGGGTATTATAAAATTTCATTATTTATATTTCCGGTATTTTATACAAAATATACAAATACCGTTAAGACGACTCATGTAGCTTCTGTTTATATATCTATGATGTATTTATTTTTATATGAGTATAGACTATTTTTTGACAGGAGTAACATTAAGCATGACGAGGCAACAAGATTTATGTGTTGTTTTTGTGTAATTCCTCGTGTATTCGATGCATTATGTGTAAATTCACACGCAAACCTTTCATTTCTACTGAACTTACCTCACAAAATGTCAGCAAATAACTTTCCATTGCATACCCATAAGCTAATGAATAATTTTAATCGAACGTGCATGAATTCCAAGAAGAAGTATTTTTTCGTGGATATTCCGATCATTTAGTCTACAGATCGGTGCAAGGTGAATTGATTTCAAAAAAAAGTTTTAAATGTCCACAAATGCCTATTATATGCTAACTTCTTATGTAATAAAAACAATGTCGATTTTAAATACCACGAATATTTGCCCTTAAAGCTACTCACCAAAACTATTTCATTCATAATGCTCACATACCAAGTAACAAATAGAGCCGAAACCGGTAACTCGATACTCATCTATAAACCAGTGCAAATCTTTAAATTCTTTCACAAAGGCATATGCACTCCTGTTAATTAATTTCACTTGAGCTAATTTTAAAACAGCATCAGTCTTTACTAAAATTCATAATATCATAGCTTCTAGGTTCTTAGATCTAAGCATATTCTTATACAAATTGTCCAAAGAAAAAAAATTATTCTCCCTATAAAAGATGATTGTTGGTCGATGCCAAAATATAATTCAACTTCAAAACTTTCAATTGGTTTGTATTTAAAACAAATTTATTATTTTCTGTTAAAAGAATTCTTAATACTGACTAACTAAAGGTAAAAAAAATTAAAAGCAATTCTGGTCACATTCCAATATAGCATGCCACATTTGAATCTATAGCGTTAAAGTGTCAGATATAAGTAAAGGGTTTTTTTGCTCAGAAAAAGGTTCATATTAATTAATAAATGTAGATTTTGGCTAATTTTTGCGTCGAGTGTAGGAGTTCGTGGTTTTGAATCCCGGCTAAGGAAATATAGAATCAACATGGAGTGCATCAAGAAGTGAAAAAACTAATCGACTCGGAGTCATAATAGGGTGTCCAGGTAGCTTGGCATGTCTTCCTATGGACTGTAACCTTGTAAACTAGCACTTTTAAAATATATTTCAAAGCAAGGTTCATATTCATATAAAAAGAGAGGCGAAAGATACAAAAAAATCAACACGAACCCAACCAAAATCTATTTGTGATCTCAGGTTCCCCGCAACGGTAAGCAGATCCTGCTCCATATATGGTACGCGTCGTGTTGCTCATGTACACACAAACCCGATGATAAGTATAATTTGGTAGTTCACATTCGGGGACGGGATTGTAGCTATGACAATTGCAATATAATCATCGTAATCTGTGAAACAGATATTCATAACGGTCAACCAACTCATGACGGCGTCCGTAAAATTTACGAAGGTATTATTTCAACTTCACCACTTTTAACTCTTGGTTTAATAGATTTTTTGTAAGCAGCAACCCTTTATCAAGGAAATCATTATTGGAAATGCAACCCCTGGAACATCGCATCGACTGGGAGGGAGATATATACTGCATATGCAGGCGCTGCTGGAATGTTGGTACATAAAAATGGGAAGTAAACAATTGGGAAAATGAAATCATTGCTTTTGTCGTAAAGTTTTTTTTCAACCGACCCTCATTGTCAATTTCTGAAATTAAGTCAAGATATGACGCAGACTTGACTGTATCTGTTGTATCAATTATTCAAAGTTCGATGGGATAGATGTGTTCAACATAGCCGCAAACTTTGAATTATTTAGTGAGAGAACATCCTATATAGCAGAAAGTGAACTTAAAGGATAATTCTAACTTCTTTTCTTTCTCCTGTATAAAGTCAGCCTCATAAGAATAAAGGAATAAGTCGACAAAAAGAGGAGCACAGTTGGTTCCTATGGGAATGCTGATTGTTGTTTTAATATCACATCCTCCAAACGTAACAAATATGTTTTCAATCAATAAATCAAGCATCTTTATTATGTCAGTTTCAGAGAATATTCTGTTTGAATCAGAGTGATTTATCCCTCCCAAAGACAAGACACGTCTATTCTTTTTATAAAACAAAGCAGGACCAAATCTTTCAATTTTTTTTAAAGTTTGGAAAGAGGAATACTTATGTAAAGTGTAGAAAGTCTAATGTTTAATACTATTGCAAGATGAAAGAGTTTTAGATTGCATGTACTCTAAAAGATCTTTGGATTTTTTTAGTATCTACATCTGGTTCACGCCACCTCTAGAATAGGTAGTTTCACAATAACTTTGAAGCCCGGCTTTTTAGCTGATACAATTGATGTTAATCATTAAGAAAGACGTTTCGTGACGCACTTAGAAGTCCCAGCAAGTTAACGATGTTTGTAAAGACACTTATGTAATTTTGGTATCCAAATCAGTGAAGGAAGATCAAGTCCTTCCTCTTTGGTTGAAATTCCAGAGAACATAGAACAGACCTACGGTTATCCAGGATTTCCTCCTGGGTAAGTGTTGTGGGGGTATATATTGAGTTCCCAAATAAATTGTCAATACTGAATTTATTTATCAATCAGTTTGTATAATCTGATTTACACACAAAACGATGTTGTTTTGAGCTTTATCTGCGTGGGCAAAGTTAAAGATTGATGTAGCATGTGTATTCATAGACCCATTCAGCCTTAATCCACTCGGATAGAGTATCTACGTCTTCTTTCACGCGTTAAACCTTTGCCTGGCCTAATCCTCGACTGAATCCGTTAGTATTTTGAAGTTGTGTTTAAAAATTGATGGATTTAGGCTCACGATATTTCGGGCCTTTGGATAACACACTTCGCAGAAAAGTGTTATTGACAATGTTTAGGTCACCAGTAATAATGTGGCCAGTCGGATTGTATATGAATGGGGAACAAGCACAGGTGCAATCAGGAGGTTTAGACATGAAGTCGTTAATATTGAGATCCTGCAACACGTGTTTGTAACTGAAAATTTTAGTTGCAATTGGTTTGTTACAGGTATAAGAAATGATAGGTACAGACTGGTCTTTAAAATAGGGAGGTATTTTCGAGTGAACTGATTTATGATGAAGGATATTGCTCAGGTTGGCGGATAAAGGCAATAGTAATATACCGCTATTCGAAATTCATAAATCGATTGAGAAAAAAACAAATCCGGGTTACAAACTAAAACTGAGGGAAACACATCAAATATAAGAGGAGAACAACGACAGAACAGAAACACAACACTAAAATGCAACACACACAGAAACGAACTACAATATAACAATGGCCATTTTCCTGACTTGGTACAGGACATTTTAAGAAAAAATGGTGGGTTGAACCTGGTTTTGTGGCTAGACAAACCTTGCACTTTTATGGCAATGTTAAATATAACACTAAAATGACACCATTACATGACATGAATACAGTACAACATTACGGACAGAGAATTACGCTATGATGATGGCATCGATACCTTTGTTTGCAAAGGAAAGATTTAGAAATGATTTTTTCTCCTTTTCATTAATTCCAATGCAAACTGGTTTGAAATGTCTGTGTTTGGCAACATCCGACAGGATAGCTGTAAGTTTGTATTGGTTTGAATGGGGGTTTTAAACAGTGGTTTTCAAACATAAGTTGTACAGAGAATGAACTTTTGAAAGGGGTATTTAATATAGCTTCGTGCGAATGTGATGAATACCCAACGTGTTAAAAAATAACATGTTCTCGTTCTGATAAACATGTAATATTTCAACTTGGAAATGTTACATCAATCCATCCATCCATTTAGTTGTTCGTCTCTGTATTTCCCTAATGGTGACTTCATTAAAGCTAAACAAGCAACTCTTAAAATAAGAGGAAAAACTGACTGGCCCTAAGTCAGAGTTATATCTTAGTAGAGTGTTATATCTCACTGGAAACTATTTGTACTTTTTGTGATCGCAGGTGCTATATCCGATAGAAAAATACTACCAAATATAATAGCGTTGTGTGTGATTTAAACCTGAACTAGAAAGATAATAGCATGTAACTGCACATTGTGTGTTAATATTTTGCTGCAAAAATGATTGACAATCTCACGACAACAAATTTATTTACAAGTTGTGAAATACAAAACCCTCCTAAAAACACCAGCTGGCATTTTAAGTAAAATATTAGACGTTTTGTTTAATAACGAGCAATTATCAAATCTAAAAAACACAGTTGCTTTTCATTTTGGCTACATTTTATCTTTGACAAGGGATATCGACCATTAATAATACAAAGCATATGTAACCATGCCTTATTTATTTACAATGCACGCAAAACTTTACTGCACTTATACACGCAAGGTTTCACTTCACTTCAACATAAAGATGAAATGAATTGGTATTTATCAAAGTTATTTGGCAAAACAAATTAAATAATATTTGTTCTATCGCGAAAAAAGGGTGCATAAACTTTGTTCGCGAATGACATAGTTTGCATGCTCGTTTTTTGTATTTTTCATAGGTTTGTACATGTATGTAATATATGTTTAATTTCCCGAAGTAAAATAAGAATCTGATCCAATTGTACTGAACCATCGCGCGCCTATTCTCCAACAAGAAGTAAAGAGGAAAAATGTCCAGTCTTCATTTATACAAATTTTAAAGAAAAGTTTTATGAATTTGGAATTTGAGGTTTGACTGAAGGAATATGTATATCTTTGACAATGGTTGGAATTAAAAACAAACATAAACCAACCTATGATTCCTTATGATTTCCTCTTTAGTTAGTGACGTAAATGTATGGATGTTGGGTTTTTCAGTGAATTATCAACACTTTTATCATTTATAAAGTAGTTTATATAATGTGATGTTCAAGCAAGAACTTTATTGTGTGATACAATTACATATTTGTCAGTGATGTAGGACAAATGCTTAGCAATATCTGGGTAACGAAGACATATTTAACACGAGTTTACATGAACGTATATTTCTTTCTTCCACTATTTGTTTCAATGTTTCAGCCTTGATCCTTTCAAAAAGAATATCTTTTTTGACGTTTTATCCTTTGTTTGGAATAGTGTTCGATTGAATCTATTGAATCTATTAAACGTATAAGTATTCTGAAGTTTTGTTGATTTTTTGTTCACGGTATTTCGACCCTTTGGCTTACACTTTTCGTAAATAAGGGTCCCCATCAGGATACTATCACAATCTGCGTTATCGCACGTTTAGTACAAAAAGTACTTTAACAGAAATTACAAAAAAGCGCGGTTTTACGTTAATGCTGAAGTTAAAGTGAAAGTAAACGCGCGCTAACTTGGTTAAAGCATAATAAACGTGGCGTTTACACGAGGTGCACATGAGTTAACGCCGCGTTAACTTTTCTTGTCGTGTACATGGTGTGCTGGGTCTGCATCCAACTGCTAAGGCAATGAAAACTCGTAACATATACACAGTTATTGTTAGCATAATGTCTATTCAATCTCTATCTGCGTTCTTCGTTTTATCATCGTGTTAGTTAAAGGTATTGCTGATGGATCGCTGTTTTGAACATCACCACTGTATAAGAAAACAAAACATCGTATCATTAATTAAACTGTGTCTCGATGTGACTTCATCATAACATAAAGCAAAGTGTCTTGATTTGCCTACTCTCAAACCCTACAAGACCTTTAGTGACGCTTGTCCCGAAAGAATAAATTTATCAAAGACATCAACAGAAATTACACTGTCGTAATTACGGCTGTTGACATAGGCTTTCCTGCAAATTTTTAGAACGAGGCTTATAACAGTTGAAAATGCATAAGTCTACTGAACACATATTTTAAAGTTGAAAATTGGCTAGATGCAGACATAAAATAATTTTTCTATCATTTCTTGTATATTTCAGGAACCACTACATAGTGTGAAAGTTGTGGCGTTCAGAAGCAGATCATAGTTCAGTCATTTAAATTTTATCATCTACGATCTTTTTTTTATAGAAGTGTCAGATTAAAATGTACTACATATTACTTTTCAAATCTAATGAAACGAAACATTGTTGATAGCTTTGTCAGATAGTGCAAATAGTTAAAATCATTGCATATATATATATATGAAAAATTTATAAATGGATATTCAAGTTTTAAATTATGAAATTTCGTCTTCTGATCACTTTATGGGGAAGAAGGTTATTAAAACAAAATCCACTTGATTTCAAATCCGTATGAAAAGGGTATATCAATACATATATAATACATAGGACTCTAAAGTGCAATGGTACTCTAAAGTGTAATGGTCACGATAAAGTGCGATTGTGTCAGACGGTAAAGTGTGATTGTTGTTCGTTTTTAAGTGCGATCAGACAACACGCTAAAGTGCGATGGTATGACACGCTAAAGTCCGATGGTGTAACGGGAATGTGGTTCAGACAATGGTTTTCGTTTGTTGCTGAGTTCCTATTACCTTTTCGTTTATTGTTTTATTCATATATCAAGCCGTAGTCTTTCTCTTTTGAATTGTTTTACACTGGTCATTGTATAATCCTATATAGTTTATTATGCGTTATGGACCGAATAGAGTTAAAAATAAAAAGGCAGGACAGAGATTACAACTAAAAAAAATGCATCCATAAAAATCAAATGGTAGCTCCCTTAGTGGTAGTCGTTTGTTGGTATATTTCACGTTTGCTGTTCGTTTATTGTTTTGTATTTAAATCAGGTTCTTATTTTTCTCGTTTGAATTGTTTTACATTGATTGTTTTGAAGCCCTTTGGTGTTAATAGAATACTATGCTCCGCGTTAAAGGTCATTCTATAACCTAAAGTTGCATACATTAATGACATAAGGGTTTGGCTAGAGAGTTGTCTTATTGGCAATCATATGATGCTACAACACATCTGTTAGTTAGGTTGCTGTCTAGTTGACGTATATTCATTATTTAACAGAAATAACAAACCATATTGAATTTTTTTTATTAGAATTATTCAATTAGAAAGTAAAAAAGAAGACTTTTTTTGAACCCCAAGTAGTTTTGATTAAATTTCTTTTTACCATTTTACAAATTAAGTTAACTTCTTTCAGCAACGACCAAACATGTTCCAGATTTACGGTGATCATTTGTTTCTCTCTTCGTTCTTTTCTTGTGTAATAAAAAAAAACCTTAATCTGGACAAACATTATCGTCATACATGCTGTTTAACGTTGCTAACGTCGATACTTTTGCGGAAAAACGCACTTTAGCGTGTTCAAATGAATAGCAAATACCATCGCACATTAGCGTATCAAACTATCGCACTTTAACGTTGGCCATCGCACTTTAGCATGACCATCGCGTTTTAGCGTTCCCATCGCACTTTAGAGTCCTACATATATTTTGGCAGTCCGATAACTAAAATTAACACTAAACGAAATTACAAAAATGAAAATTGTTACTTTTGTTATTTTTTTTTTTTTTCATTAAGGTTTTATTTGGGAGTCAGATCCATTATATCAACAGATGTTTTTTTTATGTTTGCCATTACCCAGGATGTTATTTTCGTTTTATTTCAGATCAAGGGAATACTTAATATGAAGCGTGTTAATCAAGGAAAACGCACATATTTGTATATTTATTGTTGTTTTGGGGTTTGTTTTTTTTTGTTTTGTTTATCTTCTTTATTTACAATTTTAAAAGGTTAATTTTAATAATTTTAAAATATGATGCTGTTTATTTGAAAGTTGATAACCTTATCCCTTTAGTATTCTATATATATCATCAGAAGTGGTATCTATTGTTTCCTGTACATTTATCGAAGCTTTTCTGTTTCTCCTACATACTTAACACACACATTCTTGCGACTAAGAAAAACTTGATTTGTTGTTTCATATGTAATGTAGTTTAGACAAGAATGTGAGTAGATTTCATAGTGGTGTTTTCTACTAAACGTGAAAATGCTGCAAAGATATATATGAAGTAGTAAATTAGAATTTCTATTGAAAATAAGAACGGCTGAATTGTTTCTTAAGTTTCAGTAAGAAAACCAAACTTACCTCTGCTTTGTACACTTTTTGTAAACAATTGCTAGAAAAACAATAAGTAAGAGGTAGCCTAATCCTCCAAAACCTGAAATGTAGCCAATTCTGACTTTTCTCTGTCTTGCTGAAAATAAACAAAAAACATTCCAATAAGAAAAAAAGGTATTGATGGCAGACCTTTAATTTATTCACATTTCTTTGAGACTAGGGATAATTTAAGCTTGGTATATTGCATAAAAATACATGTCCATTCATTATGAGTGTATGTTGACATCTATACCTATGTCTGTTGTCTGTTAATGATGTTAAGTTAGTGTCTCATTAACAAATACTCCACATCTTTTATTAATCAGCTGTATGCTATTCGATTCGGTCGGATTTCCGCTTCCGAGATATCTTGGTATACTGTTTCATGAATTATTGCTTAATTGTTTATTACAATATATCACTGAATGATTGAACATCATTAGCCGCATAAATTGCTACAAAAGCATCAAAGATACAAGGCTTCTAACTAATAATAGCGCTAGAAATTGAAATGCCAACTCAATTATTAAGTTGAAATCCAGCGAAGTTCAAAAACTAATTTACTAAAAGTGGTGCTTGTTTGTATTACAGGTAGTGAATTTAAGATAAAGATATTACTGCTGGACTTTGAAAGATAACTATGATCTTTGCCAGTATGGTAACGGTATTCAACCGACAAGACAACGCAGTATACACGCAGTATATACAAAAATTGTTGCGTTTTTCATTCTTCATTTTTTAAGTTTAATGTTGATATCCTCCCTCCCCCCCCCCCTCCCCACCCCCCCTCCAAAACACACCCCAGTTGGATATTTATATCAAGCTTACTTTGGTCAAATATAATTTCTGGATCTATCATTTCACATCGACTACCAATATATTTCGTGAAGCATCTGAAACAAAAATTATGACTTAAATATGAATGAAACAAATTAGATAATGCTTTGATATATTTCAATAGTTCAAATTGGTTAACGAAATCGTAAACTGGCTTAAAATCATGTAAAACTTCAAATAAAAAAAAAAGTTGAATATGTTTTATAGACTAAAATGGCTAAATATATTCGTATTAAACACGTGTACGTGAACTTTTTTGTAAAAGAAAATCCTTTATATTATCAAAATCTTCATAAATGTACTGCTATTGAATTATTGTCGTCCCGTATACTAATTCGCCTATATTTTCCCGTATGCAGTGACATTCAGTACGAGACCTCTCGTTAGAACTTCGGCCACCGAACACTGCAAGTGCAAGGGGAAAACCGTGATGAAAGAATGAAAACAAAGAGTGGCGAAAGATACCAAAGGAATAATCAAACTCATCTGTTGAAAACAAACTGACAATGCCATGACAAAAAACGAAAAACGACGACATGACAAACAGTACACAAAACACAACAAAGAAAACTAAAGACATGAACCCCATCAGCCGGGGGTAATCTCAGGTGCTCCGGAAGGGTAAGCAGATTTTGCTCCATATGTGGCATCCGTCTTGTTGCTCAGGTAAATACAAATCCGGTGATAAGTCTAATTCGGTAGGTCACATTCGCAGAAAAGAGGACGGGATTGTGGTTACGACAATTGGAACATATCCGTCGTCATCTGTGAAGCAGATATTCCATAACGGTCAACCAACCAGAAGGGATGATTTTGAATTCACCGCTTGGAACTCTTGGTTTAATAAGGTTTAATAAGGAAAGCATGATAGAAAATGCAAGCCCTGGAATATCGTATCGTATGGGAGATATATTACTTCATATGCAGGCGCTGCTGGAATGTTGTTACATATAAATTGAAAGTTCACAATTGGGAAGCTGACATCATCTCCTTTGTCGTAAAGTTTAATTCTCAACAGACCTTCATTGCCAATTTCTAGATGTAAGGCAGACTTAACTGTATCTTTTGTATCCATTACTTCAAGATCGATGTGATAGATGCGTTCAACATAGTCACCAAACTTTGAATTATTTAGTGAGAGGACATCATCTATACAGCGGAAATTCTTATTTGTGAAACAATTCTTGCAATTTGTCTTTTAGGTTTAGGAATACTTGTGTAAAGGGTGAAAATGTCAAACGTTTTAATACTCTTGCAGGAAAGTGACTTAGATTGTATGTATTCTAACAGATCTTTCGATTTTTTAAGTATCCAAATCTGATTCACGCCGCCCCTAGAATAGGTAGTTTCACAATAACTTTGAAGCCCGGCTTTGATTGCTGATAAAATTAATGTAAAAAATTTCGAATGAGGTTTTGTGGAGCACTCGGAAGACCCAGCAATATAACGTTGTTTTAAGGACACTTATGAAATTTAGGTATCAAATACGTGCACTGGAAACTAAATAGCAATAACTGATTCTTAAAGAACAAACTTAATACAACAAATTATTTAACAACTGTTAAGGAAAAGTTTAATTAACAAATGGGAACATATGGAAAATACGAAATATACCATGGCTCTATCATATCACTTATATGTCACGTGCTCCACTTGATCGGTCTTGATTGTTTATCAATGTCATAATCCGGAAAATATCGGCAACACACTCGAATGTTAGTTAACAATCACTGAATGAAATATTATTTGTCGATAATACGTTATAGATTCGTAATAAATATTAAAAAAACATGCATACGGGACTTAGTTTAGTATACATCCATGAATTGGTTTAATAATTTCGATAACGTTAAAATTTCAAGAAACTCGTTCCATATGACTTTGAACTAATCTATGGAAAAATAAGTTTGGCTAATTTTGACAATACCATTTAATCTTCGGACATTCGATGCTAGCATATATAGTGAAACTTATTCTGATCACATCTCATCTTCAACTAATTTATTCATTCCCTTTTAGATTCGGAATTCAATTGATATAGGGAAAGAATTTTATACAAATAACCTGTAGATACTCACGCACATTGCACTATTCTGTCTTCTACATATATAGCAAAGCATGATCCTCCATTCAAACAGGCCAATGATTGAGTCTCATTATCTGTACAATTGAGTCTATGATTTTCTGGAATGGTTTCGTTGTTTACTGTGAAGGTTATTTTGTCTAGGTTTGAACTGTCGGAACATCTCATACAACCTTCTATAAAATGCATAGAACCGTAATACAAAAATCGACAATGACAGTGTGTAATCATTTTCAATTGCATCATCATGCAAGTTGCATCACATCTTTCAAAATTAGTATCACTTGAGACAAAAAAAAATCTTCTATACCGCCCTAGTAACTAATACCAAATTTGAGAACCCTAAGTATAGTTAGGAGGTTGAGACAAGATTCGTATTGAATTAAAAAATGAAAACAACCCATTATAAATTGAATGCGTCCGAAGCGCTTTCCTGGATTTACCTTCATCAGGAAAGCTCAAAGCCGAATATTTGAAAGCCAAGGATGTATAAGAACCGAAATAGTTGAAGAGCTATATGACCAAATAGTACATAAACAAATCCATCTAAGGTCAACTTTGCCTGAGGGAGTTGAAACCTCAGTTTCTTTATAATTTCAAAATTTATAAACAGACAATTTAACAATGTTCGTATTGAATGAAGCATTTTTGTTCAGCAGAATACTAAAATAGGGTGTAATATACATAAGAAGTTAATCGATGTATTTCACGTTTGACAGCTAGCCAACCGAAGAAACAAAAGCAGATTACATATTAAAATCAATTATATATGAAATGCAGGATTTGCTTTTAGATTATTTGTATGAATTTGAAAATAAACACATAAGTGAATGAGACTTTTGATTTTTTGTATTTTGTAGTCTGAAAAGCGATATAAGTAAATTCGAACTTTAAATATAAATAAATATCATACCGCCTTTCTAAGGAAAACTTACCTGCATAAATGAACATCAGACTGTAGTATGAAAAAAATAGGTTCAATAATCGCATGTTCCCGCACCTGAAAATGTGAGAAATATTTAGTGAAGAGAAGGTAAGATATAGAATGAACTTTAATTAAATGTGTTAAGTGCAACAAAGCTGAAGGGAAAAACGACTTTTTTTAATCTCTCTATCATCAGAAAGAATAAGTTGAATAAATTTGAATGCAATTACCACTACATGCTATTCCACGTGCATAATGTCCTTTCAAAAGTGTTGAGAACGTTTAAACAATATTTATCTAGATTTTTATAGCTTATTACATTTTTATAGCAGTTCTACACTATTTGAGATTGAATATTGTAGCTATCAAACATAGGGGTAAAAATACAAGTTTTGCCTATTATGATGAAAACTGATATAAAAAGAAAAAAAATTACGAGACAGAAATGATGAGATCTACCTAGCATATTTTACTTCATAACTGTTAGATGACATCTTATCGTGCTTATTGTTCTGAACCTATAATAGGCAAGTAGAAACTTTAAGCAAGATCTGCATAAAAGTCTACATGGCCCAAATTGTCAGTCGGCTCCTTATAGCTGATATGAGTTTAAATGACGATTTTTTTTTACATTTTGGCCAACAACTAAAGTAGATAAAGAGAAATTGTAAAAGTAAATAAAGATCAGCAAGATATGATCAACAAAAAGGAGATCAGGTCATGAATTATTTTCTAGTTTACAAAGCACAAAAATGTCGGCATTCACCTCAAAGGCTAACCAAACCCTTAAACAGACTTATTCGGAAAGGATATAGTTACGATACTGTTGTCAGGTCATGAGGGTCGGTTGAAAACAAAACTTTACGATAAAAGAGATGATTTCAGCATCCCAATTGTGAACTTTCCATTTCTATGTAGCAACATTCCAGCAGCGCCTGCATACGGAGTATATATCTCCCAATTGATACGTAATCCCGGGCTTGTATTTCCTATCATGATATCCTTGATAGAGGATTGCTGCTCACAAGGTTGCTATTAAACCAAGAGTTCCAATGGTGAAGTTGAAATCACCATTGGAACTCTTGGTTTAATAGCAATGGTGAAGTTGAAATCACCCCTTCGTAAATTTTACGGACGCCATCACGAGTTGGTTGACCTGTTATGGAACAACCGTTTCACAGATGATATCGGATATGTTCCTCATGTTGTAACTACGATGCCCTTCCCTTTTCACGAATGTGACCTACCGAATTAGACTATTTACCGGATTTGTCATAACATAAGCAGCACGACGGGTGCCACATGTAGAGCAGGATCTGCTAACCCGTCCGGAGCACCTGCGATCACCCCCAGTTTTTGGTGGGGTTCGTGTTGCTTAGTCTTTAGTTTTCTATGTTGTGTCATCTGTACTATTATTTGTCTGTTTGTCTTTTTATTTTTGGCCATGGCGTTGTCAGTTTTTGATCTATGAGTTTGACTGTCCCTCTGGTATCTTTCGTCCCTCTTTCATTAAGGATTGCATATTTTGGTATTAATATTGATTCACTCATAGGGTCTTTGCATCGGAAATACACATTTATTCTAAAACCAGTTGTTGGCATGATACGGGTTATGTTCTTCTCATATATTTTATGATGATATGATACTAAACCCCTAACGGGAGGGATTGTACTTGATTTTCATATGATGAAGACATAATCTTTCAATCAGTTTAATTGAGGTCTGGAGCTGGCATGTCAGTAACTGCTGGTAGTCCTTTGTTGATTTATGTGTCATTGTCATTTTGCTTAGTTTCTTTTGTTACCTATTCTGACATCGGACTCGGACTTCTTTTAAACTGAGTTTTACTGTGCGTATTGCTATGTGTTTCTTTATTCTACATTGGCTAGAGGTATAGGGGGCGGGGTTGAGATCTCACAAAACATGTTTAACCCAGCCGCATTTTTGCGCCTGTCCCAAGTCAGGAGCCTCTGGCCTTCGTTAGTCTTGTATGTTTTTAAATTTTAGTTCATTTATATGTTTTGGAGTTAGGGTGACGTCCATTTTCACTGAACTAGTACACAATTTTATTTAGGGGCCAGCTGAGGACCACCTCCGGGTGCAGGATTTTCTCGCTGCGTTGAAGACCCATTGGTGGCCTTCGGTTGTTGTGTGCTCTTTGGTCGGGTTGTTGTCTCTTTGACATATTCCCCATTTCCATTCTCAATTTTACAACATAGGTGAGTTGCCATAGTAGAAGGTGTATGCAGATCCAAGTGAGCGACACACGCTCTTTAGAGCCTTAAGTTTAAACAATTGAATCTCGATTTCCTTCAATCACTTTTTTCGTTTGCTTATCAATGTTGACTCTCATAAACAGTTTAAATAAACATGTATCTGAATGAGTAATTTCATAAGTTTGTATTTAAATGTTAAGATTACCACGATAATGAAAACGCAAAAATATTATGAATGAATGAATGAATGAATTTTATTTCTCATTAACTACAAATTACATAGTTACAGAGAATATATATGTATAAACATTTACATTAGATATTAAAGCACATGTGAACAATACAGACATAAACAGTAAATTACAAACTAACCAGGAGGATTGTACATGAATCTCAATATATATATAAAATGTAACCAAACACAAATGAGTAATATTTAAACATTTTCTTTTAAAATGTGCTGAATGGGATTTATTGTTATGTTGTTCCTATTTTTATCTCCAATAATAGAATACAAATATTCCGACTCGTCTTGCTTCTGTTAATATTTCTATGATGTATTACTGCTAAACAAATATGTAGAACTTACCTTAACAATTTCAGCTTAAACCCATTCCTTCCATACCAAAATATAATTGAAAAAGTAATCAAAATTACATGCAAGAAGATGAATTTGTTCTGGTTATTCCTCCTTTTCCGTGTATAGATCCGTGTTTAATTCAATAGAAAACAAGTACTGTATTTTAAATGTTTAAAATTACCTTTGTATGTCAACGTAATGTATATTTAGCAATACAAATACAATTTAAATACCGCAAATATGTTCCCTTTAACCTACACACGAAAAATATTTTATTCATAATGCTCATATAATAATTAACAATTAGAGCTGTAATCGGTAAATCTATAGTCTTCCATATATATGTGTAAATCTGTAAAGCTGTTCATATCTATTCCAAATAACAGTTCCAGATCAAATTTGGTGCGCCAGTGTTTTTGACTACCAGGAGGATATAACCCACGATTTGATTACATTATTAACAAACCTTATAATGTACCATCAAAATAGATCAAACGAAAGCACCGAGGAAGATTTATCTCATTAAAATGGTACGTTATAGCGTCCTTTGTATTCTAGCTTCATTTATCCGTCAGTATATGGTGGAACATCGTCGATCTTAAGAGAACAATTTCGAATGTCGGTGATTGATTAAAAAGTGACTTGCATAATATGATTTAAAAAATGAATGTTGAAATAAATCGAAATTTCATTTATCCTGTGTAGGAGATATTTTTAAAAAATAAGCATAATACAAAACCGGAAACATCAAAATATGACATTCTTACAATTTTAGAGGGGACAGTTCCTTAACTAAACCTAAATAGGGGTTTTTCATCTTCAAATCACATTATTCCTCAGAATCTTTCTCAGTTTACAAGCAAACGGTTTCAATGAGAGCATTGAGACCCTTAAAAGGGTGGTTATGGTTATATATTATAAAAAAAAATGGAAACAACCTGTTATCAATTTAATGCATCTAGGGCGCTTTTCTGGATTTACTGTCATTAAGAACGCTCAAAGACGAATAATTAATAGCCAAGGATATATAAGAACCAAAACAGTTAAAGAGATATATGATTAAAAAGACCTAAAATAATTAGCCAAATCTATCTAAGGTCAACTTTGCCTGAGGGAGTTGAAACCTTAGTCTTTTTTAAATTTCAAGATTTATAAACGGACAATTTTAGAAAGGCTTATTATAAATCTTGTCAGTACCGAAGTAACGACTACTGACTTTTATAAGTGTTCATAACTCTTTTGGAGACTTAGAAAAAAAAATACTATGATACTGATATCCGTGCTCTCGAGACATGTTTGTCGATATAAACTATATTTCTGTAAAATTCAATTTTGTTTCAAAATGCTGTATAAGATTTATTCCTATATTCAACTTATCTAAGTTTACAGTAATACTTTTTCTGTTCTTGAAAAATCTATAACGACCAATTTTACCCAATTTCTTAATTTATCTTATGTTATATCTGAAATAGTAGCCACATTTCTAGTTTCAAGTCCTAAAATACACTCCGGGGTCCAACTCCCTTAGGCAAAGTTGATTTTTGATCAATTTGGCTATTCTGTTAAGGTCCTTTTTGGCCATATAGCGTAATCAGGTATTTGTGTTTGAGGGTTCCTGATGAAGGTTAATACAGAAATGCGCTTCAGACCCCAAAAAAAAAGTTTTATAGTTATTTTCATTTATTGAACATGATTGAAGCCTTCAGTGCTTTCCTAAATATATTTATTTTCATTCTGAAAATAATTTGTACCGTCAAGTGATTTATGATAACTAACTGCGTCCCTTTTAATGCAAAATTCCCTCACGTTTATGAACAGAAATTTCATGCAAAAACTTCATTTCGACCCACCAAAAAAACACTTGATACATATGACAAGAATAACTGCAGAAACATAGTTTACATATTCTCCCTGAATAATACATATATTTTATTATACGTAAAGGCAACAGTAGTATATCGCTGTTCAAAATTCAAAACATACAATAACGTATTTTTGAAACCTTTACAACAGACTTGTACGGTTTTATTTAAAACCAACAATAAATAATAACTTTTCCTTTATTATTATTACAAATTTTCCCTTTCTTACTGGTGATCATCTGTTGTATTGAATCTATTTCCCAGTTTGTTCAATATTGCCATATCTGCAGTGACATATCAGCTTTCAGTGAATGCACTATATTTATGATGCAAACATTAAATGTTAGTTATAACGAATGAAAATATTAACTGAATTATAATCGAAAATATACGGATTCGTCGTTGACGTATGCTTCCATCTGAAAAGCATCATAACAGGAGTTAATTCAACCCAATTGTTTGGCTTGATAAACAATAGCTTATTGACATAGGTTAAAATCCAAATGTTGTCATCTGTTATTTTTAAGCAGCAGTAACCCTCTTTCAAGGTAATATAGAATCGTAAACCGTAGAATTTCGTATTAATTTTGAGATATATGTAGGACTGAAGTGCAATGGTCACGCAGAAGCGCAATGGTCTGGGCTGAAGTACGATGGTCCGTTCGCTGAATGCGATGGACTATGTGTCCGTAGTTACAGTTTCACAATAAATGAGAAATCACCCTCTTTAATGTAACTTGATGTGGATATCCTATCCCGCACTAATAGTTTAACTTTACATTGTTCCTCTTAAGAGTTCAACGTTTACTATAATATTATAATACGGAGAGTCCATCTGCGGACCGGATGTATTTAGTGGTAACCACGACCCACCGTACGTAAAAAAAATCAAACCTTCTGTCGATTTCGAAAATAAAAGGATCTGCTACAGAAGTCTAAATTTCCCCTCTCTTCTAATCACTCCGGTACTTTCCTGTAGTATTGAAAGTTTATAAACCCCTTATTTACTTGTTCTCATGTTGAATATGCATATAATTTACGTGAGTGGAATTTGAACATAAGACATCCAACAATCTATTGATCTTTTTGTTTCACAAATAAGAGAGTTGTGTTTCCGATGTCTTTTTGGCTTGAAACATAACGTAGTGTTTGAGATGGTATTCCGTAATGAAACCATAATAGATTGGCTATAACAGGATAGAACATTCCATATTTTCTCCAGTTGAAGTAGAAATCACTGAAGATCATAAGTTTATAAGCCCCTTTTTATATTGCATTTCAAACAACTTCAATGTTTTTCAGTCATTGACTTTAGTATTGGTTTTAATGGAAAATAGACTTTGCATGTAGTGTCTTGAACGACTGTATGAACGTTGGCTTATTTTTGTCTAAGTATATTTACAAAGTTAGCTACAACGTAACAGTTATGACTAGAAGTGCAATGACTATTTAGCATGACTTTCTTAATTTATACAGGTTATATTCTCAATGATTTACTGAATAAAACCTGCAAAAATGTGAACATGAAATACATTGAGACTATAGTTTATGTAATCCATCGCACTTCAGCGTTACCACCAACGCACTTCGGCGTAGCTATCAACAAGATAGCATCACAATGCCCTTATCGCACTTCAGCGTGATCGAAACTGCATTTTAGCATCAAACCATCGCACTTTATCGTGACCTTCTCGGTACAGAGTACCATCGCGATTCAGAGTCCTCCATTTAAAGCCTCTATATATAAGCTCGCAATAGGAAAACTGAAATAATGTCATTTGTTGTTAGTTATTCTTTAATTATCCTTCTAGATTTATAAGACTTTAGTAACAAGTCGGAAAACAGAGGGGCATTGATGGTTCCAATAGAAAACCGATTGTCTGTTCAAAAATACAACAATACGTTACAAATATGTTTATTATTAAACACAATCATCTTGATGTTTTCAGTTTCTTCGTTTCAATCAGAGTGGATTTGTTTTAGGTATCACACCACAAGATATTTATATCTGCGTTTGCGATTATTTTATATAAAACACAGTTTATCTAAATCTTACGATCATTTTTAAATTAATAACGCAAAATACTTCTGCAAAGAGCAGTGACGTCAGATCTTTTGATTTTTTAGTACTAGTATCCACATCTGATTTTCATATCCTTAGAGGAGATAATGTAAATCTGAAACCTTGTTTGATTGCTTATTAAATGAATTTTAATAATTTGGAATGCGCTTTTGTTTGAGAGACCTTACAATATAACTGTGTGTCGGATAATTATGTTGTTTTGAAATCAAGTAGAGTGAATTTGATTGTTTGACTGATTGGTGCTAAACGCCATTTTCAGCACTGCTCGCTATTTCGTGGCGACTAGTTTGAATTGGTAGAGGAAACCGGAGTGACCGGAGAGAACCACCGACCTTCAATAGAAAAACTCACAATCGTAGTCAATTAAAATTGGGAGCCGAAAGCACCTGCCACGTGATGGCCTCGAACACACAACCTCAGTGATACTGCAAGTGAACTAATGAAACCACTCGGCCACCGATGCTCCTTTTTGAATTTGAAAGAATATCCAGGTTTTCATCATTAATTGAAATTTCAAAAAGAATATAAAACTGAGCTATGATTGTTTAGGATTTCATTATTAGAAAGCGTCAGGTTTATGTTGGTATATTTAGGTGAAATTCTTTATCAAGCAATTAATATAATTTGATGTTCAAACAAAAACTTTATTGTGTTTGATAACAATATATTTTTCAGGGAGGTTTACCAAGGCTTAGCAAAGCTTAGGTAATTCAAGATATACATTACACAAGTGAACATGGACATATTAGTTTTTTTTTTTAATCCTTTACAGCATTAAACAATTCGAAAATAGCAACATCATCTTCTTTTGCACTATTTGTCTTTTGTCTGACAAAGTCCCTGGCTGAATCCATAAGTATTTTAAAGTTGTGTTTCCAGTATATTGATTTTGCTTCACGGCATTTCAATCCTTTTGCTAAGTTATTTCTTAGCTAAATCTTATTAAAAAAAGTTACGGTCGCCAGTGACAATATACAAACCGGATTTTATATGAACGGGAAACTTGCACAGGTACAATCAGGTGTTACCGAATTGAAGTCGTCAATATTCCAATTCTGCATACATTGGAATAGGTGTGTTATAAGCGATAATTGGTAGTTTAAACATATTTTATTGTTCAAAAATGACAAATGGATTAGACACAAGTTTTTCAACTTAGTAACGTCTTCTCCAAATTGGTACACACTGATCTTTGAAATGTTAAAAAAAAAATCCCTTAGTTTTTGTCTGTTTTGTATTCTGCCAAAATCTTTTTAGGCATTTAACAAAATCGTTTCATCCTTCCGTGTTCATTACGTTGCATTGTCTATCAGACTTCGAAACTACATGTAGGACATTATAATTTATGTTTTCTACAAGAGAAGCGCACCCGGTCTCTTTCATTTTTGAGTTGCGATCCCCTCAATTTTTTTGTTACCTTGATTTGTCTCTCCAAAATCAATTAACGAGATTTGAACATCAGCAAACCACTGGAGTCTGAATTAAGTAGATTATTGACTTTTTCCGCTATGTTGCTTTAATTACAGATCGAACCAACGGTTTCCTATTCTAATATACTCAAGACTATGTTGTAAGATAAAGTATTAAGGAAAATATTGAATCATATTAACAAAAACATCTTTAAATTAAATGTATCAAAAGCGTTGCAATTCGTCAAATCATAAAGCATTAAATTCATAATAATTCAGTGTTTCCAAAAAAAATGTCCTTGTTCTGCATTAACAACAATTAGAAATAAGATGATTAATGCTGTTAAATTTGATATGAGTCAAATTCTAACTTGTTTCTGTCGTGATAGAAAGGAAAATATGATATACAATGGAGAAGTATGTACTCAGTTTTAGTTCTATAAATAACATAAAGGTACCCGTATATACAAACAACATTCAGCATTTGCAAAACAGTCATGTTAGCTTCCTGCAAATAATTTATATTTTATTTAAATATGGCACAATCATAACACATATGGTTTGCATTTATAAGACAAATGGTTTGGTCATGGTAACAGGTACGTGAATGATCTAACGGAATTTTATAAAATTTTGCATACAACTTGAGCATGAGAATCTGCACATGAACAAAAATATACAAATATAACTGTTGATCCCTTCTGAGATATGGCAAATAAAATATCCGGAAAATAGTAATACAGATGTATAGAATACACGTAAATAATGGTAAAGATCAGCATTTGACTTAAAATTAACATTTCTCGAAATCCTGTTTACGATTTTTCTTTAAAAATGATATGTTAGTGCCACTGAAATTTCGGTTTAATTGATATATAATTGATAGGGGACACCGAATTCGTATTTTGAGTATGAATAGTTGAATCTTCTGTACAGCCTGGAAAAAGCGCCAAGAAAAATATTGTTTTTCGACGTTTTAAGATATTACTGAGTCACTTGAAGGATTTATACAGCAAAAATTAATTCGATGACCCCCTATAACTTTCAAATCAATAAAACAGAAATTCTAGTGGCACTAGCATATAAATTTTAAAGAAAATGTGTAGGACACGTTTTTGAGAAAATGCAATTAAAAGTCAAATTTTCAATATTATTTTCAAGATTTTAAAAATGCATCCTATACCTTTGTACTTCTTTCTTTAATTTATTCAATTTGCTATGTATCCGAAAGTATAAAATGTTTTTATTTATTTTTTTGATATTAATATGCAGTTCCACATTCTCTAATTGCTTGCAAAATTTTCATAAAAATCCGTAAGATTGCTCATGTACGTACCTGGTACCTTAACAAAGATACATGAGCTACACCTTGTGTAGCCTGGGTAAACCTATCACGGGTTTAGTAGCAAAATATCATTTACCTGAGATCACCCCCAGTTTTTGGTGGGTTTCGTGTTGCTTAGTCTTTGGTTTTCTATGTTGTGTCATCTGTACTATTATTTCTCTGTTTGTCTTTTTATTTTTGGCCAAGGCGTTGTCAGTTTGTTTTCGATCTATGAGTTTGACTGTCCCTCTGATATCTTTCGTCCCGCCTTTACTGTGGATTCATTATTATTCGTTGAACGATAATTTTAGTGGATTTTATGGGTATTAGTAATCAAAGAACTTCAATATTTAACGAAGTAAAATCATAGGATTGTTTGCAGACTTTGGCAATTAAATGAAATCATATATCCACGAAAAAACATTTTTTCTTCAATCCATTCCACGAAAACTGTTATCAATGAAAATAAATGAATCCACAGTACTAGAACATATTGGATTTTGTTTATCATTTGTAGAGGGTTTATAGCCGACGTGCTTACATTCTTTTATTTTCAGAAAAATATGTGTCAAAATATTAATGAAACCAAAGATAATTAAACCTGATTTCAATAACAAACTTGTGTCCCATGCTACCTCTTAGAAAGTATTTTGAAATGTATACATCTATCCAGTAGGAACCTAACATACATTACTAAAAAAATGAGTTATAGTACCAAGAGTCCAATGACAAAGAATAAGTTTCAATAAAAAGAGATAACACCAGAGCCAAAATGAAAAAAGGACGTAAATACAATAACATCATTAAAACACTTCACAGAAAAAAATAAAGAATAAGCAACACACACCATACCAAAAACCGACACTGAACTCACGTACTTCGCAAAGGTAAACAGTTCCTACTACACTAATGGAAGTATAATTTGAGTCCTTAAATTTATGATATAACATAACTAGAAACGTCAAACCTGGCACGCTAATATTCGTTAACTTTGCCACTTTTAATCGCCAGTGAACATTTGTCTACATGTTGAACGGCTAATTTTGAACATCAACCATGCACCGTCCAAAAGGTTGTCGCTTTCCAAACAAAATTACAATTCTATCTAAAAATGACAAATACAAATACAAAAAATATGAAGATCGTTATTAAGCAAAAACATATTTGATGGCCAAACAACTCAATGCAATATCAATTTTGCCCTGTGTGTGTTATACTCTTTGGTTATTCTTTAAATATATTCAAAAGTTTTATATTTTTTACTTATATAAACCATAAAACTCTACTTCATGTGGTTAAGTCTATGATGTATTCACTTTAATATATAGGCAACAGTAGCTTACTATGCTCATTCTCATAAATTGATTTAGAAGACAAATAAAGGTGACAAACAAAAACTGAGGGAAACTCCAAAAAGAGCAACACCGTGTGTGTCGATGGGATGAGCGATGTGCTATGCGGGCATCAACAGCCATGCAAATCCAAACTCAATGACTTATATTATGTATGCTTAAAAGGTTTTACACAATTATACCTCTAAAAACTGATCAACTTGTAAAACAGTTTATCGAATTGCTTCAGTAAAATGTTGTTAGAGTGAAGTGAGTGCAGAGAAATAAAAATAATGCTTACCATCCAAGTCCAGTAATATTATGTCTGTGTCATGAAATTGAAATAAAATAATCACCTACTATAATGTGAGGCATTGGTTTATGAAGGTCTGACTTGGATATGAAAACTTTTATCCTAATGACATTTTATAAATAGTTAGTTCTAAACATTGTTTTGTTGGTCACTAATGTATTGCTTTGTTTTCTAACAGGAAGTTATTGCGTAATTGTAATTAAGATACTTTTTTTTCTAAAACAATTACGGATTTGCTGACATTAAAGGCAAATGATTTGAATAACTGGACTTGGACGGCAAACATTATTTTTATTGCATTCACTTCACACTAACAACCTTTTACTGAAGCAATTCAATAAACTGCTTTACCAGGTGATCAGTTTGTAGAGGTGAAAAAATACTGCTATTTGGTAAAACTTTTTAAGCAAATGGTATAGTAATAGGCTTATTTTTGGATAAGCACTGTAATACATAAATAGAATTGAAGTCGTTACTACAATCAAAAGAAACCCAGTAGAATTTGTCAAATTCTTATTTCACAAAACGCATCCCCAAACATAAAAGTACAAGTTTCGAAACGCTTTTATTTATTGATGATGTCTTTGTCATTAAATGACCAACAATTCAATGAATGCTGACATCTCTCGCATCCAATTGAGTTTCGTATTAGGGATAGTAGCGGAATATATATCTATATCTTTTCACCATATTAAAACAGATGGACGACTTCAAACTAGAATCTAAAAAAATCGTGATGATTTCAACTTTTCAATTGTCAACTTTCCATTTCTCAGTTGTTACATACCATCTCTACGTATGGCGTTTTCTAATTAAATTGTACTGTCTCCATCACGCATTTGTTGACCGATACGACAGGTCGTTGTCGCAATTCACTAGCGAGATGTTTTTGTAATTTTAGATCTTTAGATACCGGTAAAGTGATATTTTGAGTATGATTCGCCTGAAAAATGATGCAGGAGCCGTTTAGCTAGCTATAAAATCAGATTTAACCGACCAGTTTTTTCGGAATTGTCTGTTCTCAGTCGGTTTATGACAGTTGTTCCGTTGTTTACTAAAGTCGAGCGTTTCTTTTTGTCAGTTATATTGCTTGCACTACCCCTTTATAATATTCCCTTGGAGTTAATGCGATTTCCTCAGTTTTTGTTTGTTAACTTGGTTTGTCTCATCACAATCTATTTACAAGGTTTGAATATTAGCAGACTACTGTCGCCTTTATTTAAGTCATGCTAAATGACTAAAATCGCAGCATCATATGTATACTGTGTAGGTACTACGACCACTTTGGCGTACTATTGAACCTGAAAGTGTATTAAAAATTTTAATTTTTTCATATTTTGATAGATTTTAGCAAATTAAAATGTTTTATGAAAGAAATAAATAAGGAAATTTCAAACCAAAACAACAATTATATGAGAAGTAAAGTGGCATATTACTGTTCAGACTTCAACTTTGTACTGGTTCTCAGATGTACCATGATGGGGAATTTTACTGAAAAATATAAAAATTGCTTTTAACATTGATGTAAAAAAGATAGAGAAGATACCATTCATTCTCGATATGTGGCATCCGTCGTGTAGCTCAAGCAAGTAAAAATCTAATGATAATTCGCTTTTGGTAATGTTACAGTCTAGATACGAGGAAGAGATTGTAGTTACAAGTAGAAGATATCCGTAGTCATTTAATATAGATTACTAGTCAATCTTATGTTTAATTTTTAATATTCTTAAGGATTCAAATATCGCAAGGTTAAGAAGCTTACATATTGTGACTGGATTTGAATTACTAACAGTTGAAGAAATAATCTCTTTCAACCAGAAACTTTGATTGTGCTTTTGGTCGGTTAAGGAAAACCAAAAACGCTTACGAAAAGGCTCTGAATGTTACATTGCATCTTTGTTTGAACGGTGTCCTATTTTATACGTATTTTATTTTCTTCCAGTGTTAACTGTTAGTATAGAAAAACGTCCGAGTTAAGAAACTTTCATGTATATTCATCCAGATTACGGTTTAATGTTTATTACATATAGCAATACAAGTATTATTGCATAAATTAATTACACTTAAAGTGCATATTTTAAAGTGATTCCAACAAGCAGACAGACACGCATAGCAATTGTTACATGTCAAAACAATTAAATTGTATTAGGGAGACAGTTAAGTATAAGACAATCTTGTTCCGAATCCGTTTGTCCCTAACTGCAATCAAAGTTGTAGGACATATTTTTTTCAAATAATATAAAATATGTTTTATTTTCAATCATAGTTGAATAATATAGAAAAATCTTGATTCTAATTAAGATACATAGTGTTGAACATCGGGAAATGGAATAATTATATGCCTTACACTGATATCATGCTTGTAAATCATTTAATTACAATATATTGACTAATTGTTTTATTACACTTCGCAAATAAGTTTATTAAATGAATATACTTTTTATTACATTTGGTGCTTATTGGAAGCATTGTCGATGTTTCTGATCCATTACTTCGCGATTAAAACAAAACACAAAGCATCTAGAGTATATAACTCCTTGCTCAATGTTCAAGACCATACGGTGATCAAAAGTTGTTAACTTTCACGTCATTTGGTCTCTGGTGGACGGTTGTCTCATTGGCAATCATACAACATATTATTTTCATATTTCGAAATGACTTAAAGTTTATGTATAGTCAACCGTTAAGTACCGGGGGTATAGTCCATTCAAATATAAAAATAAGGAGATTTGGTATGATTGCCAGTGAGACAGCTATCCACCAAAGTTCAAATAAAGTGGATGTAAGCAATTATAGGCAACCGTACGGCCTTCACCAATGAGAAAAACCCATACCGTATAGTTGGTTATGAAAGGCTCCTACATGAAATATATGAAACAATTCAAACGAGAAAACTAACGGCCTAATTTATAACAAAACAATTTACGAAAAACAAGGCTCCTGACTTGAGACAGCTACACAAAGAATGTGGCTGGGTTAAACATGTTTGTCAGCGCTCAACCCTCACCCGAACCTGGGACAGTGGTGTTAGAGCACAACATAACAATAAACTATGAATATCGATACAAAATAGAAAAAATATCTAACAAAAAACACAGACCGGACGTGGCAGGGTATTTATACATCCTTAACAACAAAAAAGACACAAAGTACAAATCTGAGAGTACTCGCACTCACAGCTATTTCAAAGCCAATAACAACTTATAAAAGGAAGCATGTATCTAAGACTAAAATATCGATCAGTACACATCCAACATTCAATGCATCAAGTGTAAAGACGTCAGTTAAGAATTTCAATTTCCTCCTGAAAAGCATTGGTAATACCTTTCGACAGAAAAAAAATCATAGTGCATAGCTATGAATTCATAATTACTTCATGACTGCTCATATGTGTCAACGCTTGATGCATTTGTATTTATCAAATATTCAAATATTTAAACATTTTTTCAACAAATTGTTTTTATCATTACAGCTGAAATTTATGTAATTTAAAGGCGAATTTGATCTTCGTGAACCTACTCCTTTGTCTGTCTGAAAATCACAAATGTCTATGTCGCCGAAATTACGATACAATCTTATCTTATCAATATTAAGGTAAATAAAAACAAAACTTGATAAAAAAAGGGGGGTTTAGACGTAAAAGTCATAAAAAATTGATTATATTTTTTTTTATTTTTAAATTTTTTTAATTTCGATACACATTGCTGATGACAAAAGTACAAGAAGTGTTTTTTCTTTTTTTCTTTTTTTCAAAAAAAAAATCAAACGTACCTATCATTCCTTTCAATCCCTCTTATGTATATAACTGTCAAACTAACAATAAGTACAATGACAATTAATGCTGTTATACCGGGAATTAGTCCATTCATGCCTTTTTTCTCTTCTGGTTAAAAAATATCAAAAATACATTAGAAAAAAATTACACAAAAAGTTAGTATTTTATCCAATTCATCTTTTTTCGATATTGGATTTATTTTAATGTATGTATATATAAATATAGCTATAAGGATTTATACAACGGTACTTACAAAAGATGATAATACACAAATATATTAAAACATTAAAACTGTTCACTGGTATTTTTATTGTCGTTTTTTTTCCAGTAATAAACATAATCATAACATTTACCAAACATATTGTTCAGTCTTGCACCTTGGATTTAATACCATTCGTGATCCAGTTTTTTACCAATTATCAATAGTTTTATTACTTCATCTTGTTAAATACTAACTTCTTTAATTCTAAAATGATACATTGCTGAAAAACCAGGTGGTGCTTAAGTTTTTTCGGAGTGTATATATAATATAAAATAACAAGTTGATATAAGTCTTACTTGAAAATTGTTGTAAATCCATGTTCTGATCTTTGATTTCACAGCGGTTACCTATATATTCTATGTTACATCTTAAACAAGAAATTTGACTTATAAGTACATCAATTCAGTAAAGAACATATTGGTAAACTTTCCATTTGTTTGCAAAATAAGAAACTGGTATTTGTTCAACTTTATCTCAGTAGTATTTATTATGAGTTAAAATAGAAGAATAAGGTACAGGTCTCACGCCTTTAACCATTCACAGTACGAATATTGAAGAACAATAACTCCTATAAGTAGTCAACATACGATTTCAAACTACTAAATTATTTCCAGATCTTGTCTTGCAGATAATATTTGCTGTTAAACGTTTGTTTCTTTCAGTGTTCTATAGTTTTTGCAGACGTCGCAAAAACTATGATGACTTAATTCGCCATTCAATAATAATACATCCAATTAGACTTAAAAAAACATATGGGAAAAAATGAAAAGACGAACAAAACATTACGTAGACACTAAAGATTGAACAACATGAACATCACCAAAAACCAGGGTTGAAAACAGATTCTCAGGGAAAATAAGCAGTTTTTGTTCCAAATATCAAACCAGTCGTGTTGCTCATGCAACCGCAACTCCGGTTGTCAGTCTAATTCGTTGAGGTTTCATTCGAGGAAAAGAGGACGGGATTGTGGTTACAACTATTGGAACAAATATATTTTGGTCACCTTGGACAAAGATATACCATAACGGTTAACCAATATGCTCCATATCTTAAAACAGTAGGCAAACATCTTCATTAAATGGCAATAACTACTAAATGGGTCGACTAATCTACCCCATTAAAGACAGATCCTACTCAAAAGATTTGGTTTGCCATTGCGTTTTGTTCATAGTCGAGATAATCCCAAATTTATTGATGACATTAAAGTTTAATGAAAAAAACATATGAACAAGGCTACAGACGAGACAGTAAAGTGCTATCGGAACGAAAAGAGATTAAACGTTATATCATGATTCTGCCCTTTACTCGGTCCGTTTTCGATCCAAATATGATACTGTTTGGGTTTTTTTTTTTAGATTCCAGTCTCAGTATTCTGTATCTTAACATTTAAATTGAATTCGATTTAGACTCGTCCATTTGAATTGGATTTTATAAGGCGACCGTAGTTTACTGATTTTCAAATAACGTTACATTTCAAAGTTTCTCGATATAATGGTGTTATTAAGAAACAAATATAAAGTTGACAAAAATCATTTTTAAACGAATAATAGAATAAATAATCCACCATTAACAAACAGTCATATAACACAAAACATTTTGAAATGTTCAAAATGAGTCTGCATGTGAACCAATAAGACACCAAACCAATGGACATAAATTTTTATCAAACAAACATCTGACGAATAATAAGCAATTAAATATTAAGGGTGTAATATCCGCACCTTTAGCCAAACATTCCAGTCGATATTTTGTTTTGCATATTAAAATAATATAACGCAAAACATTTTGAAATGTTCAAAATGAGTCTGCATGTGAACCAATTGGACTCCAAACCAATAGACATATAATTTTTTTATCAACAAACAGTTTATGAATAACAAGCAAATAAAAATTAAAGGTGCAATATCCGTGCCTTTAGTCAGACATTCCAACTAATGAGTTTTGCATATTAGAATAATATTATTTGAGGCTTTTATTGCTGGTACAACAACATATGTATCGTAAGAGAAGATTATGCTTTCAAATCCTCAAGCTTCATGAAAAGGTTTAAATCCCGTTTGAAATCTAAAAATCAAGGATAAACAAATAAGGAATTGATACTTATTATTTGAAAAATCGGTAAACTACTGTTGCGTTAATTTAACATGAAATCTGCAGACGACTAATGTCAGAATATGAAAAACTTAACCCTGTGACTGTCTGTGTACTAAATCTTTAATTTTTCTTTTTTTCATTCTCTTACTAGAACACACCCGCGAAATCGCTGGCATTTAGAGCGTGGTTGAAAGTATGTAAACTGCTGTAGGATGAATTTTTGTAAAAGATTTTATGACTGGAGAATTTCAGGAAAGGTATCAAAAGTATCTTAAACATGAACTGATGTCAATATAACGTTTTGAATTTTTCACAAACAGACTTTGGTTTTTGTTATGAACCTCATCATGTGAAAATGGGAGGGCTGAGGAAGGTATATAAAGAATTAATATGTTGAAAGATTTGATTGGAATTATGAATAGAGCCATACTAAAATACTCAATACACAATGCGATTTGTGCACAAAACCGTCATATTTTACTGAAATCTGGAAATGGTGTCAGACTTATTAAGGTGTTGACTTTATTGAAAGCAAACTGATTCTAATATAGGGTGCTTTTGCGTCATATGAATAGAGCCATAATAAAATACTCAATAAACCACAACCACTATAAATCGACGACGTCGCAATGTGATTTGTGCACAAAAACGGCATATTTTACTGAAATGGCGTCAGAGTTTTCAGTGGGAAACTTTACCATACTAGAATCAAAATAATTCATGCATTCCATAGATTTGTTTTTATTTTCACATGACATGGATCGTTATATTTACCAAAAATCTGTGTAATTTTAAACAGTCCCAAACGGAAGTCTTGTCTATGATTCCGATGACGGAAACAATATCCGGACGCATTTATTTTTCGTTTTTCTCCCATAATAACCTAAACGGAATAATCATAAGCGAGAATGACAAATGCGACTATGCATGGTACCTATAGGACACAGAGGCATGAAGATTAATTTATTGTGGAAGGAAGAGAAGCGACACACAAAATGAGGTCTTCTCATTTAAATGTATAGATTATTTCATTATTCTCCTTGGATTGGTAGTTATTCTCGTTTCTTGAAAAATGTGATACATATATACTTTAAATACTCACGCACATCGTGCTTTTCTATAGTTTGCATCAACTACAAAGCAAACTCCTCCATTCAAACAGGCTAATGTTTGTGTTTCTTTATCTGTACAGCCTAGTGTATGGTTTTCTGGAATCGTTTGGTTATTAAATTTGTAGATTATTTTAGATATGGCTGAACTGTTGGAATTTCTAAAACAACCAACTACGAAAAGAAATAAAATCTGTCACACAACATATGCCATTAACAGATATTCAGCATTTACAAAAATATGAGCCCTGCGCGAGTTACTTTTTGACTATTCCAAGAGAAAATCCTATCCAATACGGTCTCGCACCAGTTACAACTATCATACGAAGGATATGGGATTTTAATAGTGCAAAGTCAATGTTCCAATCCCTGTCCAATAAAACCTTATGAAATGAAAATGTTTTTATGTACATAAGCTCATGAGAATTTTCTATCCGTAAACACTTTTTTGTTTATCCAATTTCAGGATAAAGTAATGAACATTACAAGTAAGGTTATGTTCACTTTACACCATACTTCACAACCTGTAGTTCAAGGTTATTTCAGAAATTTTATAATAACAATTTGTATCAATTTTATCTAAAGGCTTAAAGCTAATCTGTTAATAATATCTAATGTTCACACCATACTACAATCGACAAGGGAAGATAAAAGAAAACCAGAACTTCATGATTAATTATTCACAAAGTTGACAATACTTTTACTCTCAATTTTCTCAAATGTACCCCCTTTTTCTTGAAATGTTTAGTCTGCACGCATAGTAATATACAGTTGTATACAAAATATAATATATTTTTTTTAATTTTCCTTTGATATTTCTGCGTGGTAATTTTCCCTCTCAAGCACCAGACTGAAATGGGTATTTCCTTATTGAGTACAGTGAACGACGTTGCATAAGAGAATAGCGATTATCAGATTATTTATGGTCTTTCACAGGAGGAGTTTTCTCTGTGATATATATGTAACACTCCCAAACGTGTTCATTCCCCCAAACGTGTCCGATTCCCTCAAACGTGTCTATTTCGCCCAAACGTGTCCTTAAAATCCAAAATCGCCCAACTGTGTTCGATTTCACACCCCCAAACGTGTCCGATAATTGTTATTCGCCAAATGTATCCACTTTTAAACGCTAGAACTCAAAACTTTTAGCGATAATATGTCCTCATTAACGTCAATAACGTTTACGGCAATTCAATGATGGGGGACACGACTGAAAACGTCGGGTTTTAGTTGCAGGATTCTAAAAAAAATCAAAGCCACCATCCAAGGACTTCTGGAGGAAAGGTGCAGTGATGCGTATAGACAAATGTCCAAGACATGGTACACTATCCACAGTGAAAGATGAAATCATTAACTTAACAGATAAACAAATACCAGATAAGAAAATAAATGGCAAAATAAACATTAATTTTTACTTGCAGTGGTTTTTTTTATCAATATGATAATTAATGTTTTAAATTTTAAATGGAGGTACTTCACACTTAAGAAATCAAAAACATTTTCCCAGTGCCGGTTGTTAATATTTAGCATGATTGCAAGTTAATTGGCAACACATTAATTAACTTTTGTCTGTTGATTGCTTAATGTCCAGTGGCAGATATGTCATGCATATTTAGAGCGAACATAAAAATAGCAATTAATTAGTTTTGCATAGTTAAATTCATCGTTTACTAAATTAATTCGTTGTACTAATGTACTCCAGTGATGCCTAACTATCTTAATAATATACGAGGGTATTGCACGGCTTACTTCATACAGAAGTGGTGTCTGTGCTTTCAAAGAGTTCATTTTTTTGTAACTGTCCCATTTTTACAACAACAAAACAAAACTCAGGCTCCTCTTATAATATCGATTGGATTTGTATTTACGAATCACTATTTAATAAGGATCGACACGTTTGGGTGTTTATAAATATGGACACGATTGAGCGTTCATAAAAGGGAGACGTTCTTGCCTCATATAAACACGTTTTGGGGATTGGACAGGTGTCAGCGTTTGGGCGGGTTTTTTTTTAAATGGACACGTTTGAGCTTAAATAAAGAGGACACGCTTTGGCGACCTTCTGCAACTAGACATGTTATTGCAGTTCAGTGACGTCATATGGACACGTTTAGAGGAATCGGACACGTTTGGGATGATGGACACGTTTCTGAGTGTTACATATATATTTAGGGGTTATAGCCGTTCTATGAGAATGTAACCGATAAAGTTTCTCTGATTATCAAAAACCATTGAGATTATCTATAGCTATCGCAAAAACTATTAATTTCATGAAATTGATCTTCCTTATCTTAATATCAGTTTTTTCTGCTTGAACATTTGCATATAAATCTCATTAAAATTTATCAAGTAAGACTTTTTGAGTTCGAAGGTGTTTTTATCGATACACTTTATAGCTAGGGCGGTATCAATAAACCTATTACTAAACATATAAACTTATCTCGTATCGTATCGAATCAATTAATAAATGTAAATTACCTCTATATATAAACAGCAGAGTATAAAACAGACAAAATAGGCTCAATAACTGCATGCTTGATTCCCTGAAATTAAAACAATTATTTTTCTCTATAGTATTTTTGAATACAGTATGTTATCGAAAAGTAAAATTACTATCAAGATATAATACCGAAATATGAATATAATCAAAATGACCAAAAAGAAATGATAGCAAAAAGAAATGCAAATTATCTGAGCTTTTTTCATTTTTTACCTTTTTGCTCAATGTACTTAGAGTATGGTTGATCAGTAGATTATATACAAGAGTCATGTCCCAAATACTTATTATAGAATAGAAAAACGAAACGGGTAATGTATCAAAGAGACAACAATCCGACCAAAGAGTAGAAAACAGTCCAAGGCCCCTATGGGTCGTCAACGCAGCGAGAGGTGGGTTTCAGCTGGTCTAACCGATTTTAGAATAAATGTGTTTATTTTCGATTATACCTATATATTTATCAGTATTAGTCTTGCTCCCGTGGTATATACTTTATCACTCAATTAGTTAATGTTTGAAAAATGCAAAGTCAAGCATCATCAACGCATTCTATGCAGTACTTGTAAATTGAAAATTCATTTTTTACTAAAAAAAATATATCCATCCTGTAAGACAATTTGAGCACGAATGCCAAGGAGAATTTTACGCTTTCGTAGCAAATCCTATTTTAATATTATTTAAGGTTCATTAGTCAAAAACAAAATAGATGTCAAAATACGTGATTTTTTGGGGCGAATTCCTTTTTTTTTTTGGCAGCACATATCGGTCAAAATACAATAAACATCTTCATTTTAATGTGTTTCGAGTGCATTAAGTAATTCGATTTTAAGATTGTACTTACACGACGGGTGCAACATGTGGAGCAGGATCTGCTTACACTTTCGGAACACATGAGATCACCCCCCGGTTTTTGGTGGGGTTCTTGTTAAGTCTTTAATTTTCTATGTTGTGTTTTGTGTACAGGTTTTTGTCTTTTCGTCGTTTTTTTGTTGTTTTTTTGCCATGAAATTGTCAGTTTGTTTTCGACTTATGAGTTTGAATATCACTCTGGTATCTTTTGCATCACTTTTACCGACAAACAAATACAGCAAATCACTGCAGCAATGATATTGTATTCCACAAAGGAGTGATGACAATTTGGCTGATTGTATTCTGATGTACATAAGAAACCTCCGTGACAAGCAGCATCGACCCTGTGATTCAAAAACAAATTTTAGAAAAATAAATTTTAAGCAATCAAAAAGTTTTGTGGTGTTTGTACTTACACAACGACTTTCATGTTTTCTGCGATTCATACATATGATAATACTTTCAAATGTTTCGTATTGTAAGATCAGTTGATATGTACCAATTATGTTATCACTATTTCAATACTTTTATTTGAGGGGAAATGATGTTCTGATATGGACGAAAGTCTGGCAAGTTAAAAGCGTTGTATCTTTCAAGAGTTTCACTCGCCAAAAGGACGTTTGCATTGAAACTCTAAGTGAAATTGTGTTTGGTTTCTATTTAAGAACAGCTAAAATAAAATAAAAACAAAGTATCAATAAATGTTACTTTTACCTGTTATCACGTTTGTTTATAATGAAAGCCTAGTGTCACTTTCAGTGCAAAATACATCCAAGTGAGCGAACTATGATCCAAGATGCATCTAGTTTCGTTTTACTCCATGAAAGCAGTTGATAAATTTATTACAGTGTTCTATTTTAAACTGTCTATGTATAATGATTTGTAATATAGTATTCTTCCGTTTTATGTCCCTATTTAAAAGTCTGGTTGAAACAAATGCTTAATGACCCATGTATGTATTATATGTTTCATGATAGTGCGATAAACTATATTTTGTGGAAATATAACAGCTTTTTGTTATCTTATTTAGTTAAATACAATGAATTTCTTTTCTCTTCCTTCTTCCCGCTTGCTAGAACAATTATATTTTCTTTAGTTTATAATCACATTTTGTCTATAAGACATCAAATTCTTCTAAAATGTTCTCCATAATTTCCATATCCATGAATATCTATGAAACAGTAAATCGGTAGGAAATTATGGAGAACATTTTAAAACAATTTGATGTCTTAATAGACAAAATGTGATTATTCATATTGAATATAAATATTTAGTGCATTTTCAGCCTTATATATACATCTAAATTTGGAACAACTTTACGACAGACGTTATCTATCGGATAACCTGTGGTTATATTGGCATAAATTTGGGACGAAGTATATTCGATCATCAGGGATAATGAGGGATACTATATATATAACATAAGGATAAGATGAAATAGTATTTATCACAGTTATTTAGAAATCAATAATAAATAACATTGGTTCTATCACGAATAAAGAGGGTAAATAAAGTTCGTGTCCGTGATGTAGGACAAAGGTTTAGCAATATTTGTTTAATGAAGAAATGTTACACGAGTGTACATGAACGTATATTTCTTTCTATCACCATTTGTTTCAACGATGTCACAGCCTTGTCCTATTCAAAAGGAGTATCTACGTCTTCTGTTCACGTTTAATCCTTTGTAGGAATAGTGTCATATTGAATCTATTGAATCTATTAAACGTATAAGTATTCTAAAGTTGTGTATCCAGTTTATGATTTTTGGATTAAGATATTTCGACCCTTTGGTTTATACCTCGTAAATTAGGGTCCCCATCCAAAATACTATGACAAACTGCGTTATTTCACGTTCAGTACAAACAGTAAACCTGCGATTACTTTAAGCAGAAATTAATAAAAAGCGCGGTTTTCACGTTGATGCTAAAGTTGTCGTGAAAGAAAACGCGAGTTTACTATTTGTGTCTAATACAATTGTGTGGTTTACATATAATAAACGTGGCGTTTACATGACGTGCACATGAGTTAACGCCGCGTTAACTTTCTTGTCGTGTACATGGTGTGCTGGGTCTGGACTCAACTGCTAAGGTAACGAAAACTCGTAACAGATACACAGTAATCGTTAGCATAATGTCTTTTTAATCTCTATCTGCGTTCTTCGTTTTATCATCGTATGAGGTTAAAGGTATGGCTGATGGATCGCTGTTTTGAACATCACCACTGTATAAGAAAACAAAACACAGCATATCATTTATTAAACTGTGTCTCGATATGACTTTAGCATAACGTAAAGCAAAGTGTCTTGATTTGCTTGCTCTTAAAACCTAATAAGACCGTAAGTAACTTAGGTCCCGAAAGAATAAATTTATCAAAGACATCAACAGAAATAACACTGTAGTAAATACGGTTGTTGACATAGACTTTCCCACAAATTTTTAGATTGATTGATTGGTTGGTGTTTAACACCACTTTCAGCACTATTGTGTTATTTTGTGGCGGTCAGTTTGTTATGTTGGAGGAAGCCGGAGTGCCCGGAGAGACAAAGTTTAAAGTTTTAGAACGAGGTTTGTAACAGTTGATAGTCCACAAGTTTGCAGAACACATATTTCATAGTTGAGCATTGACTGGATGTAGATATAAAATGAATTTTCTATCATTTCTTGTATATTTCAGGAAGCCAATACGTGATGTGAAAAGTGTTCAGAAGCAGATTTCAGTTCAGTTATTGAAAATTGATCATCTAAGATCGTTTATTAGATAGAGGTGGCAGATTAAAATTTACTACAAATTACATTTCAAATCAATGTACTCGCCTAAAACAAAACATTGTTGATAGCTTTTTCAGATGGTGCAAACTATTAAAATCATTTCAGATATATCAGAAATTGATAAATGAATATTCAAGTTTTGAATTATGAAATTTTGTCATCTTTTGGTCAGTTTTTTTAGGAAAAAGTTGTAATAACAAAAACCTCACTTGATTTCAATTTCTTCTCCATTGGATCTGAAAAGGGCATATTAAAACATATAAAAAGTCCGATAAGACAAAACTTAACACTGAGGTTTAATTTTGGGGTCAGATCTTTTATATCAAGAGATTGTTTTTTTATTTGTTTGCCATTACCCAGGATGGTATTTTCGTATTATTTTAGACCAAGGGAATATTCAGTATGAAGTGCACATGTCCTAAGTCAAGAGCCTGTTGTTCAGTGGTTGCCGTTTGTTGGTGTGTTTAATAAGTGTTTCTCGTTTCTCATTTTTATATAGATTAGACCGTTGGTTATCCTGTTTAAATTGTTTTACACTAGTCTTTTCAGGGCCCTTTATAGCTTGCTGTTCGGTGTGAGCCAAGGCTCCGTGTTGAAGGCCGTACATTGACCTATAATTGTTTACTTTTTACACATTGTAATTTGGATGGATAGTTGTCTCATTGGCACTCATACCACATCTTCTTATTTATAATCATAGAAAATGCATATATTTATTTGAACGTTGATAATCTAATACCTTTATTTTCTATATATATCCTCAAATGTGAAATCTGTTTTTTTTCTGTACGTTGGCTTAAGCTTGTTCTGGTTCTCCTACATACTGAACACCACATTCTTGTGACTTAAAAAACTCGATTTGTCGTTTCATATGAAATGTAGTTTAGGCCATAAACAAAAATCTGAGTAGATTTAATAGTGGTATGATCTACTAAACGTTAAAATGTTACAAGAATATATATGTAGATATAAATCTGATTTTTTTTTTAAATAAGAACACCCGAAGTGTTTATTAAGTTTCATACGTTGCCCAATATCAACTAAACTTTTACAAGTATAAACAAAGCCTTCATTTGTTTATATACACTGATGCGATCTTTAAATGCCAAATTAAATTAAATTGTTTACCTATTTCTTTACATTCAATTGAATTCATTTGAAATATTTTGTTTGTCAATATGTTGATCGAGACCAGGATATTTCAAATAAATACATGTTTGGTGGCCTTGGGCTGTGTTCTGCTCTTTTGTCGGGTTGTTGTCTCTTTGACGTATTCCCCGTTTCCATTCTAAATTTTATTGTATAAAAATCCCAAAATATATTTAACATGAAACCAAACATAAGTGAGTAATATTTGAACATTTTCTCTATTTAATTGCTGGATGTGATTTATTGTTTGATTAATCCTAAATTTCATTTTTACTACCTATAACAAAATACAAATATTCTGACTAGTCTAAATTCTGTTGATGTTTCTAGATTGTAGTTACTTTTTAACAAATATGTAGAATAATTTGCATGAAAAAAAGTTATATGAGACCATGCGTCACTTATTTTTTCCCTGTCACTCTTCGTGGATTTACTTCATTTCATATATATCGACAACCCCCACTTTCTTTTCTAATACACTTGCCTTAACAAGTTTATCTAAATATACCTTACCTTCACAATATTAGCTAAAAACTAACCCTTCCATACTAAAAAAGTTGAAATGTAATGAAAATTGCTTGCATTTCAGAAAGAGTTATTCCGTTCCGTGTTGAATTTAATAGACAACAAATGGTTTAAATGTTTAAAATTACCTTTGTATGTCAACGTGATATATATTTAGCAATACATATCAATTAGAATACCACAAATATGTTTCCTTTAAATTACACACGAAAATTATTTCATTCATAATGCTCACATACCAGTTAACAAATAAGCTGAATACGGTTAATCTGTAGTCTGTAGTCTTCCATATTACTGTGTTAATCGGGAAAATACATATGCTCTCCGTAAATTATTTTATATCACTTGACCTAATTTCGAAATATCTTCCAATCTTTCTAGCTTTATATAAGTACTTTTAGATCTAAGCATGAGTTTTGATTAATTGTTTTTTTTTTGTCACAAGAAAATATCGTTACCCCACTCACGATTGGTCGATAACGAATTCCAGTTCAACTTCATAATATGTAACACAAATATTTTCTATTAAAACAAAATTTATTATTTTCTGTCAAATGACTTTTTTCGCAATACTGCTGTACACTAAGATGACGAAACGATGCAGTACGTTCTGGAAATACAAAAAAAGCATCACATAAACCTAAACGAATAACTGACTTTCTGATGGAAAAAATACGTAAAATTATATTCTAGTCATATGTCATTACATCGTGCCAAATATGAAACTATTTTCTCGCTGCGTTGAAGACCAATTGGTGGCCTCGGGTTTGGTTGGGTAATTCTGGCTTTGACACATTCAACGTTTCCATTCTCAATTCTTCATCGGACATGTATCAGATTGTACAGTTATTTTGTAATAGTTGTTTTTTAAAGGGTTCATATTATTCAACAAAAAAGCAAATTTGCTAGTTCTTAACAATAACTGCTCGTGACAGATCAGAAAACGCATTGTATTATTCCCAGTAGGCAATGAGTAAAATTTTAGTTATTTTACCAATTAATTATACTTTTAATTGTCACTCAATAAGAGTGTTAATGATTTGTTTATAATTGTCAACCACATAATTTTCAACAAGAGATATGACAATGGTATTGTGTTATGAATTCTTATATTCCCTCAAGCAATGAATTTTATTATTTTTAGGCCCATTTTTGTGATATAAATCTTCACGTGTTTATGTCTTATACATCCTTGGTATTCAATAGTTTAGTTTTGAGCGTTCCGGATGAAGGTTAACCCAGGTTGATTCTTCGCAATGCAATTGACTTTAAGGAGTAAAATCAAAGACTGATCAACTTGGAGTCATAATAATGTGTCAAGGTAGGGTAAATATGTCTTCCTATGGACTAGAACCTTGAAACATATAGCCTTGAAATGTCAATTATAAAGTTGGGTTTACACATATATACATACATTAATATGTTCGTCTCCTGATATTTGCCACTGGAAGTCAAACATCAATTCATCCATGTTTTTGTTTATTTTCTGAAGTGGCAATGTTTACTGAAAATCCAAGATAAGAAGACCACCAATGGCGTGCCTTATCGCAAAATTAGAGTCGTCATATCTAATATCGAATGCAGAGGCAACGGCGCGAAGTGGGAGAGGTCGAGTGGTCTCCACTGTAAAATATTTCAGTCTGTATGCAATTGCGTTTTTTGCGTACGGGTTGTTATGCCAACATAACTTATAAATGGTAGTGAAGCCTCTTACGAACTAATTATGATATACGACTAATTAAGCAACAGCTACTGTGGTCTTTTCACCACCGTCTTTGCCTCGAGTGTGGTTAATAAAATAATCGAGGTCTTGTCAAATCAAAAATCGAAACTAACAGTCAACTATTTCATGGTTAACACACAACACTAAATAATAATGCAAAAACTGACAGGCTTTGATTCAAAGAATACTTCTCGGTAAAATAATATGTCTCATTAAGAAATATTCATTCTTATTTGTGATCACAGTTGAAACATCCGACAGAACCAATGTTTCTACCGTCGCTGTATTGTCTTTTCGTATTAATAGGTCGTCTAACCGCAACAAATAAACTAAGACGTATGTCATTTACACATCAAGGGGACAGAAAACTAACTTACACTTTTGTGAATACTTCGCTTTAAGGTACTATAAATTTTTTAATAGTATGAAAATAAAATCATTTTTTCCTAAAAGAGAGGCGAAAGATACCAAAGGGAAATTTAATCTCATAATTAGAAAATTAACTGACAATCAACAGTACACAAAACACAACATAGAAAACTAAAGACTTAGTAACACGAATCCCACCATAAACTGGGTGTGGTCTTAGGTGCTCCGGAAGGGTAAGCTCCACATATGACACCTGTCGTGTTGCTTATGTTAGTACAAACCCGGTAATAAGTCTATTTCGGTAGGTTACATTCGTGGAGAAGGGGATGGGATTGTAATTACGACAATTTGAACATATCCTGTTCTGTGAAACGGATAGTAGTATTCCATAACGGCCAACCAACTCGTGACGGCGTCCGTAAATTTACGAAGGGTTGATTTTAACTTCAACACTTGGAACTCTTGGTTTAATAGCTTCCTTGTCAGCAGCAACCCTCTTTCAAGGAAATCATGATACGAAATGCAAGCCCTGGAATATCGTATAAACTGGGAGATATATACTCCGTATGCAGGCACTGCTAGAATGTTGCTATATAAAAATGAAAAGTTCAAAATTGGGAAGCTTAAATCATCTCTTTTGTCGTAAAGATTTACTTTTAAACGACCCTCATTGTCAATTTTTAGATGTAAGTTAAGATATGAGACAGACTTAACTGTATCTGTTGTATCCTTTATTTAAAGTTCGTTGTGATAGATGCGTTCAACATAGTCAACAAACGTTGAATTATTTAGTGAGAGGACATGATTTATTATGCGGAAAGTGAAGTAAAATAGTAATTCTAGCTTCTTTTTATAACATATCATATACGCTCTAAGGCCTATAAACTTTATTGAAACAACAAATTTATTTGCAAGTAGTCTAGTGAGATATAAATTCTTACTGAAAACATCTGCTGGTATTATCTAAAAACAAAAGACTTTTTTTGGTATACGTAGGCCATTATTTAATTTTCATTGGTTAGCGTTTTACCTTTGACAACTGTTAGAACTGTAAATTTCTAATAAAGCCACGCCTTACTTATTAACAAATTTAATGCAAGCATATCTTCGCCTGCAGTCATTGAATATTTTATTTCGGAAATAGAATGCTATATATATATATATATATATATAGATAATTTAGATAATTTAGCTAATCTGCAATCAATTCCATCTTCATGCCTAATATATAATGTACTGTGTTACAACTTTAGATTCTACTGACGAGGAAAGGTAACACTAGGCCACCGAAAGTTGAATTTTTAGTTCAGTCTAGGTGGCCGAGTGGTCTAGAGCGCTGGACACAGTGTAGGCGGTGTTGTCTCGATATCTCAATAGCATGTGTTCGAATCCCGGCGAGGGAAGAACAAACATTTGCTTATATATATAACATAACGATACAATTACACGATATTTATCAAAGTTATTGGGCAAGCAAATGTAATAAAATTTGTTCTATAACGAATGAAGCAGGTTTATAAAGATCGTTCGAGAGTGGCATGATAATTTCGGATTTGTGTTTTATATTGGATTGAACATAAATATAAGATGTGGTATAATTGCCAATGAGACAACTCTCCACCAGAGATCAAATGACATAAAAGTTAACAACTATAGGTCACCGCACGACCGCCAACAATGAGCAAAACCTATACCGCACAGTCAGCTATAAATGACCCCGAAATGACAAATGTAAAACAATTCGAACGAGAAAACGAAAGTCCGATCTATGTACAAAACAATGAACTAGAAACAAATATGATATACAGCAACAAACGACAACCTCTGAATTACAGGCTCCTGACTTGGGACAGACACATAAAGAATGTAGCGGGGATAAACTAGTTTGAAGGCGCCAACCCTCATCTTAACCTGGGACACTGGTGTAACAGTACAACATAGGACCAAACTATAAAAATCAGTTGGATACAAAGCAGAAATACATCTAACAAAAACACTGACATGCCGTGGCAGGATACTTATACATCCCCACAACAAAAAAGACACTAAGTTCAGATCTGAGAATACTCCCAGTTACTGACAGCTATTTCAAAGCCAATAACAACTAATAAAAAAATCATGTAACCAAGACTAAAATATCAATCAGTACACACCCAACGCCAAATGGATTTAGTGTAAAGACGTTATTAACAGTCAGAGAAAAACATGACCTTGTGCAATTCCAAGATACAGGTATCGATAGGTTGTAGATGAAATGGATGAGCATGTGTATATAAAAATAAGATTTAGTTAGATTTTAATTTACTGATCAAAATCAAAATCAATATCAATACCAATAAAAACAATATTCAAAGATCTAATCACAGTGTTGAATGGGTACCTTTTTAGAATAAGTTTATGTAAAGGATCGATAGGTTTTCCCGGATCGTATCGAAATTTCCGGGCTCGGTAAACAACATCGCCGTAAAAATAAGTATGTGCTATCCAATTGGAAATAAGTTTTCTAGTAACAACCACACTTCCAAACCAAATCTTTGTATTTATGGAAGAATTTAGTAAAGGTTTTAAATAGTTTGTGGAAACGAAATTCCTGACTTAAATAATTTACCAGTAATACATAGATTGCGTAAATTAAAATCAAAAACATAAGAGCAGACACGGGGATAGCGAACGTGTTGTGATATATAAACACCGTAAGATGGTGCCAAAGGAACATCACCGTGTAAAAAAGGAAAATTAACAAAAGAGAACGAAAAATCGTCCCTTTTGTCGTAAATTTTAGTGTAGAGTTCCCGTGTAAACTGAAATAACTAAATCTGGGAAAGGACAGTTATAACCGTTTATATTTGATTTATTTAAAGTAAGTTCCTTAAGGGTAAATTTCGGCAGTATATTTAGAAAATACTTGATTATTTAACGAAAAAATATCTTCTCGAGAACGGTAATTGTTGTTGAATTTATCAATTAAATGCAATTTAGACGGGTCTTTACTGAGTTTGTGTATGTTATTCATTTCACAAATATAAATTTTCTACGTATTTGATTTTGCCTCCCACTGTTTTGATTCGAGCGCCACTGATGAGACGCGTGTCTGGCATACCAAGCCTGGTTTCTTTGATGAGTTTATACGGTAACCATCATTTATTGGTTGACCGATACGGTTTGTGTGTGTCGCAACTAGCTAGCGACATGATTTCGCAGTCTTAGATATTTAGATACCATGATAGTCGTCTTAGTGTAAATTTACCAATTATGTCCTATATTCGATAATGGCATTTTGACTGAGTGTGGATTCGAATGGCAGATGATGAATGCATAGCAGCAGACACTTGTTAGAGTGTCACTTATAAGTCTTTTACAGACGAAACGCGCGTTTTGAGTACAAAATTACAAGCCTGTCGATTTTTTTACCATAGGATTACCTTATAGATATATAACTCTATTAGGCAAAACCATTTAGAATTTCGGGTCCTCAATGCTCTTCAACTTCCAAATATTTTTTTGACCTTTAAACTTGTTCTACCCGAGAGTCACTTAAGAGTGTTTTATAGACAAATCGCAGATGCGCGAACAAAGTAATAAGTCTGGTATTTTTGATGAGTTTTATTTTATCCTGTTTTAGCAACCAGTCACGCTCCTTTTAGAATTCATACGAAAACTTGAGTTTTTGTTGGTTATTTTGATTAGTACATCGATAATCTATTGTCACTTATCTGAACTGGTGATCATCTGATATATTGGATCACCATGAATGGTTAAGATGCGTTCATCTCTCAGGTTGTTTAATTTTGAAATATATGCAGTGATATGTCAGATTTCATTGAATGTACCATTTTTATACAGCAAAATTAAAATGTAACTAGCAACAAATGAATTAAATTTTATAACTAAGGTGGATATTATTGACGTATGATGCGAGTTGCAAGAATCATATCAAAAGAGAAGTTTTCACCTTTTTGGTTTTTCGGGGGGCGGGGGGGGGGGGGGTCGAAAAACTTGTTTATACAATGTTAAAACATTGTAAAATGTTTGCCTTATTTCGGTTTAGGATAAATACTAGTTCGTTTACATGAAGTTTGAAAGGTGACCCAATTTAGAGAGATAGTAACCAAGGGGCAATCAAATCATAAATCTTAGTTTAAGAAAAAAACGCAAAACCATGGCAAAAAAGACGACAAAAATACTAAAAACATTAACCCCTCTGCTGAAGACAAATAGTTCGTGCTCCACTAGTAACATTCGTCATCAGTCGTATTCAGTAATGTAGCAATGTTACAATGAGGTGAGCAAAAGAGGGCGGGATTGCGGTTGTGTGGTCATCAGTAACAAAAACAAATTATAACGGTCAAATAAATCATGATAACTATAAAAGTCGAATGTTGATCATTATAAATAAGATTTCGATTTATATATAGAAGATTGAAAGAATATCCAGGTCTTCTTCGTTGGTCGAAATTCTAAAGAAACAAAAAACTGATCTATAGTTGTTCAGAATTTCTTGAGGGCATATCTTTGGTTCTTGGATGAATTGTCAACACTGCAATCATTTATCAAGGACTATATAATTTATAATGTGTTGTACAAACAATAGCGATATTGTTTATGGACTTTGCTGGACAATGACATGTAAGTAGTACAAAGTCTTGGCAGCATTTGGGTTATTGGCGATAGAGGTAACATGAATATGCATAGACTTTATTTTCTATCCCGATTTGTATCAACGACTTCACAGCCTTTGGCAATTCAGAAAGTATCTATCATTTTCATTACGTTTTGTCCTTTTTCTGGCGTAATCCTCGACTGATTCCATTAGTATTTAAAAGATGTGTTTTCAGTTTATAGATTTTGTCCCCTTCGCTAGCATATTTCGTAGAAAAAGTGTTGTTTAAAATGTTACGGTCGCCAATTGTAACGTGACCAGCCGGATTATGTATGAGGAATTTACATTACATAGGTGCAATCAAATTTCAGACTTGAATTCGTTTATATTGAGATTCTGTAACACACGTGTGTAGTTAAAAGTTTTATTCGCAAAAGGTGTGTTATATGTATTTGAACTGGTTATTATAGACTGATTTTTGAAATATTTAAAGTCTTGATTTATTTTGTTCATTCAGTTATCCTGCCAAGATGTATTTACGCAAAGCACAATATTATTTCATCCTTCACCTATGACTTTCAGCCGATGTACACTCCCCGATATTACAATGTAGGACGGCATAGTTTCTATTTAAAAAACTTATTGACTTTTATTGGTTTTTCTTTTTTATTTGGCTGAAAGATGTAGTTCGAAAACGCTAGCGATTGCGTATCCTAACAAACAGAAGTCTGTATCTGCTAGATAAAATACATATGACCATTTGGATTAAGATAAACATACTTCTACATATTTTTGAATTATAACATCTCGAAATGTAACGAATATATCCTACGACGTTGCAGTATGTAAATTATAATGTGGTTCCGATTCATTTTAATAAGAAATAAGACAAACAAGGATATTAAACTTGGTATGAGTCAGATTCTACATTTTGACCTAATATTTTTTTTTATACTGCAGTTGAAAATTGCTACAATTATGTTATTGAAAATTTTAACACAAAAATAAAACTTATTTTCTATCCCTAAACTATCGCAAGACAGTGAAGAAAAGTGACGTGACCTGAAATCAATATTAAACGAAACATCTTTTGTTACTTTTTTGGTAGATAAAGAAAACAAGAAGTGTACTAGCTGCAGTATAAATGCACTTATACATGAACAACCGAGTAATCTTCATTCCGTTTTTTTTTCTACTTGTGCTTATGTACATAAAGCTACCCGAACATACAAACAGCATTCAGTCTTGAAAAGACTTAAATTCGGAACATATGTCTTTTTTAAATAAGGCACAAATAATAAATGTATAGTTTGCTGAAAGAAAATACATAAGCGCCACATCATTTACACAGGCAATTTTTTCCAACGTGTGTTTAACGTTTGTGCTCATTACGTGAAAACTACGTTATTTCCACGTGTGTATCACACTGTTTAAACGTTTATATCACCTGTATTTGACACACACAAGATTCTCACGTGATAATCACGTTTTAATCTGCTCACGTGATATTCACGTTTAAACGTAACGTTATTTTCACATGTAAATTTTTTAACGTGATATTAACGTGTAAATATTGTGTTAATTTCACACGTAAATTTTTAAACGTGATTTTAACGTGTAAATATTGTGTTAATTTCACATTTAGATTTTTTCGATTATTTTAACGTGTAAAAGTTGTGTTATTTCACGTCTATATTTTCACATGATCGTGATGTGAATTTCATATTAATATCACATGAATAACATATGTACATGTAAGTGCAAGTTATTTTTGCAATGGCTATGTTGGATTTTCATGTGTTCAGTGAATATTTAAGGTAATGCATCTGTCATATAAATTTTACCTTAGTACAACATAAAAATTCACCAATTGCAAAACATGAAGTTGTAAGTGTATTGTATGTTGTTTACTGTAAAATATAATTCCTTCACATGGGTTATTCTGAATTAACAGACTAATTAGAAATATACATTGTGCTTTGTTATGCTCTAAATGAGTCTTCCTTTATTTCCTGTTCTATTAAATTATAAAATCTTCCTTTACTTCAAGTTGACAATGGTTTTCATTAGAATCACAAGAGGTATATTCCGTAACAATTCTTTTTAAAAGAAATAAAACTCATAATTCATGTTCTGATATCTTCTTTTCACAGTCTTGTTGTTATAATGATTTACTGATGCAGACACTTATTTCCTCTTTTTATTCATAGAAGATGTATCACTCTGTCAATTTTCCCTGCAAACATAAGAAAAGTAGTAAGAACAAAGAAATTATAATAATAGCTTATTAATTTTGTCGTTGAATTCTACTGGTACTGAACATGCTCTAAATAGAAGATGCAAAACTACATCATATGAATGTTTTAGTTTATGATTATTTTATTCGAACAATTGACTTAAATAGGATCAGACACAAGTTTTACTTCTGTATACAATAGGATAATAATATTATATTAAATTGAGTATGCATAAATTTTGCACCTGTCCCAAGTCAGGAGCCTCTGGCCTTTGTTAGTCTTGTATCATTTTTAATTTTAGTTTCTTGTGTATAATTTGGAGTTTAGTATGACGTCCATTATCACTGAACTAGTATACATATTTGTTTAGGGGCCAGCTGAAGGACGCCTCCGGGTGCAGGAGTTTCCCGCTGCATTGAAGACCCATTGGTGGCCTTCGGCTGTTGTCTGCTCTATGGTCGGGTTGTTGTCTCTTTGACACATTCCCCATTTCCATTCTCGATTTTATACATACAAAATTTTTTAATTCTAACATGAGTATAAGTTAACCAATTTGAAAATAAAATGCAAGGCTCAGCTTGATATGACTGACCACAGAGGTATATAGACCAATTTGAAAATGGGGCCCAAAATCAGAAATCTTACTAAACGATTAGATTCAGCATATCAAAGAACCCCAAAAATTCAATTTTTGTTGAAATCAAACAAAGTTTACTTTTGGACCCTTTGCTTCTTAATGGGGTCCAATTTAAAAACAGGGCTCAAAATTAAAATTTTAACTTAACAGTTAGATATCTCATATAATAGAACCAATAAATTATTAAATTTTATATGTCTTCAAACGACAAAGTTTATATTTGTACCCTAGGGACCTCAATGTGGACCTATTTTAAAAAGGAGGCCAAATCTATATACAAGTAACAAGGTTTGAAAAAATAAAATAAAGACTTTGAATTAAACACAATTGAAATCGGTCAAGAAAAAAGCAGTTTATACATGTACAAAGAATAAACAAAGTGTTATTTTTGGCCCCTAATGCCTAAACTGTTAACATGGTTAAGGCCATAACCCCCAAAATCAAACCAACCTTCCTTTTGAGGTATGGAACCTTGTGGTGTCATAAAGATCCATTAACTTAAATTTGCGACTGTATAAATATATCATGTATATTATAAAAACAAGAGTGCACACCCTGAAATGTCTCGCCTTCTTTACTAACCATTGATATTATGTAGATAGTCCTAAATATAAAGCTGAACTACAACTATCACATAAGCTTAACATGATCCAAGAAAATGAGGTCAAGGTCATATAAACCAAACGAGAAATACTTGTAGTATGTATATTTGTACACCTTACAATCATTCAATACACTAAATATAGTTAACCTATTGCCAACAGTTTCTAAAAAACAGACTTAACCAAGAAAACTAAACATTGACCAATGAACCATGAAAATGAGGTCATGGTCAGATGAACCATGCCAGGCAGATATGTACAGCTTACAATCCTTCCATACAACAAATATAGTTGACCTATTGCTTATAATTAAAGAACAGACCGAAACACAAAAACTTAACACTGAACAATGAACCGTGAAAATGAGGTCAAGGTCAAATAAAACCTGCGAGACTGATATGTACATAATAAAATATTTCCACACACCAAATATAGTTGACCTATTGCATATAGTATTAGAAAAAAAGACCAAAACTCAAAAATTTAACTTTGACCACTGAACCATGAAAATGCGGTCAAGGTCAGATGACACCTGCCAGTTGGACATGTACACCTTACAATCATTCCATACACCAAATATACTAGACCTATTGCTTATAGTATCTGAGATATGGACTTGACCACCAAAACTTAACCTTGTTCACTGACCCATGAAATGGGGTCGAGGTCAAGTGAAAACTGTCTGAGGGACATGAGGACCTTGCAAGGTACGCACATACCAAATATATTTATCCTATTACTCATAATAAGAGAGAAATTAACATTACAAAAAATCTTAACATTTTTTTCAAGTAGTCACTGAACCATGAAAATGAGGTCAAGGACAATGGAAATGTGACAGACGGAAACTTCGTAACATAAGGCATCTATATACAATTTATGAAGCATCCAGGTCTTCCACCTTCTAAAATATAAAGCTTTTAAGAAGTTAGTTAACGCTGCTGCCGCCGCCACAGCTGGATCACTATCCCTATGTCGAGCTTTCAGTGACTAAAGTCGCAGGCTTTACAATAAAAACTACATTTATGGGATTTAAAGGAAGAAGTGATGAAAAAGCAAATGAGGATGAAAATTGAAGTTTTGAAGGTTGAATCCAAGATATATTACCATACCCAATGAAATAAGAAACTGCTTAGACATTTATATATTTAAATATATATGTACAATGACAAGACTCAATACAAAGTTTACAGTAACACTGAAGAATGACAAAACTCAATGCATGCCTGATACAAAGTTTACAGTAATACTGAAGAAAATTTTGTGACGGTCAGATTGACGGGACAAAAACAATAATACAAGTTCTCTTGCTCTGCTTAGATAATGAGGCTGCATGGACAAGCTAATATATATAGCCTTTATTTATATCTTTAACCTTTTAGTCATTTCAGGATATCTGCCTAAGACCATTCTTTGGTAATCTCGGATACATGTACCCGGTACATAATATTCACGAGCAGAGACAATCAAATTTGAATTGTATTACATTTGTCATTTAGTAGCCTTTTATAGCTGTCTATGCAGTATAGGTTTTACTCATTGTTGAAGGCCATACAGTGACCTATAGTTGTTAATGTCTGTATCATTTGGTCTCTTGGAGAGAGTGTCTCATTGGCAATCTTACCACATCCTATTTATTTTACATTACACTTACAATGTATATTGAAGTCTTTTGTTTTTTGTTTTAATCCAAAAGATGCCTCTACTGGTTTTGTTGTTTGTTCGGGTGCTGATTCATTGAAATATAGACGACATTTCTTTTCATTTATTTATCTCAATCGTTTGACCGTTACAGCCAAGTTAATCAAGTATAAAATAAGTATATAATACCTGCTGCTTTTACTTCTTCTCCTTATTGAAAAAGTACATTTCCTTTGTTACTTTCTTTTTTTTCCCCAATGAGCTCCTCAACAATTTTCACTGTTCATTAACTAAGAACTTGGGAACTTGCTGTATCCCTAAAAACATATCAAATTATTCAATTGATGGAAAAAATCTTTCATTTTTATAATGGTATTATTTATTACACAGTAGAAATATTACTCTTAAATATTTGTTTACATGTAGCTCAAGTTTGTAGTAATGTCATAAATGTGTAAGCTAAACATAAAATAAAAGATAGCTGTTCAAAGCTGACTGACATGATATCATCAATTAGATTTAACCCCCTGAAGTACAAATTAAGGAGAAATTACAACTGAAAATATCGTTTAACAAGAGAAGAGAATTATCCTGTCATCAAGACAAAGATTGAAGAATCCAACTAAATCCCACATCCCCACTTTTTCACCCCAATATGAAAAATCCCCTTTTTTTTAACCTCGATATCCCACAACCCAAAAGCGTGTCATTCCCCTAATGTTCACCTGTACTAATATCAGAGACAGATTTAATGCGCAGCCCCCCCCCCCTTTTGTGGGCTTAACCTTAGGCAGTCAATGCCCCCTTTTGTTGGCTTAACCTCAGGCAGTCATTTTTGTGGGCTTAACCTTAGGCAGTCAATGCCCCCTTTTGTGGGATTTACCTTAGACAATCAATGCCATCCCCCACCCCTTTATTAAAATTTATGTCATTTATGGATCCACCACTGAATATGGAAAAAGAGTTCATAAATCGGTTTGACTTGTGTCTTATCGAATTTGTGTTAAGGTTATTTAAATAAAATATATGTTTTAACTAAACTTTAGTGTAGCCGTAGGGTAAAAAAATCAGAAAAAAAACTGTATCGAACTTACCTGCACTGCATATTTTTAAGGCAGTGTCTGCGCGTACCCGCATGCGGGTACGAATAGTCAAATTGCCATTGGCCCAAGACCACAATTAATGATCCCGCTTTTCGTTGTCCACGAATATAGTTCCTTTTAATTAGAGTGTATTTTTTCTTAATTTTTTTTCTTTCCTTTCCTCACTCATTTCTTAGTTTTTTTAGGGTGGAAATAAAAGAAGAGAGGTGAAATAAACTTTTGGATGTTGTATTCTAACTGATTTTGATATGGAAAGAGTGATTAGGCCAGGTGCAAAAAGGTGATATTTACAGTTTTCGGAACATCTCTTGACTTGTCCATAGGGGTATGGATGTGTATTGGCTAAATTTGTAAGAGTCATTGGTTCAATCTTTCTGAATTTTGTATATATTTTTGGACTAGTACTATACATTACACACACAAAAGATTTGACAAAAATGCAAGGTGCAATTTTTTTAATGAAACAAAACGTTATAAAGAACTAATAGGGGAATTTAATTGTGGTCTGTGGCCTAAGAGGTGAATTCAGGAAATATTGAATTTGTACTTTGACAACTTCCCTGATTGATCTATTGGTATTAATTTGTCAAACTACATGAGAATAAATGATTTCCACTTTTATTTGATAGAAATTTTGTAAAAAAGTGACATTTCAGCCTACATGCCAAAAATTGAACTTTTTCAGTTGTTTCAATATTTTTACAAAAGTAGCATGCTTACTTTCTCTCTGACAGATTTTTCTGGTTTTCTATTTGTGTTTGTGGTATCTAATGTAGATGTTTAACTCATTTTTGAACACTGAACACAAAAAAAAGTAGATAAAATCAGAATAAGAGTGCAAAATGTGCTGCTTTAATGGTCTTAGTCTAACGGTCAGTATGAAGCAAGTGAAAAATGAGGTTCTATGCACATACAAGTTGAATTCCTTTTAGCAGATTTCACTGAATCTGTATCAAAAGCACTTATTTCTGGTTGTTTGACCTTGTCTGTTTCACAGACTACCTTTATTTTCTTTTGTTTAATAGCTAGTGGTTAAAATATTGGCCTTTTGAGGCTGAAATTTCATGCCGGTTTTAAACAGTAATGTAAATAACATTGCATCAAATCATACTGTCTACATATATAGTTGAAAGTGACAGTCTTGTTACATCCAGGCTCCATGTTTTATTATATCTAAACAAAGATTTGAGCAAAAAGAAGCATATCTCTATCTCCCATATCATTTATATGCTTTTTAATATGCAAATGTGGGGAACGACCTAAATTGACAACCTGTTTTTTTAAGCTTGACATTGCTGAAGACCATTTTATTCACATGTGTTATGCTATTTGAAACTTATATTTCCATTAAAAGTACATTTATAACATGTAAAAGGTTTTTTTATAACTTAACAACTTCAGAAAATTGTGGTAAGTGAAAAATATTACATTTCATATAAGGCCTCACTTCATTTGAAAACCTCTATTTTTTGGCACAGGCTCATATAAAATTTACTTCTGGCCATTTTTTATAAGTCTGAAACATGAAGTATGCTATCTGTTTCTTTTAATAGGTGATAACTTATACATAGAGACACTAAAAAGTGTAAGTTTTGGTATATTTTGGTTTTTAGAAGCCCAAACTTGATAGTTGAAATTGTTCTAATTCAACGCCACAATTCAGCACCCAAAGTTCAGATATAAAAAATGCCACATTTTTTATAATTGGTATCATATGGCTTTGAAACTTTGTAAACTGTTTTATAATACACTAAGCTTAAATCATGCCAAGTTTTATTAGAATTGGTCAAGTTTTAGACCCCTAATAGGCCCAAGACCACAATTAATGATCCCGCTTTTCGTTGTCCACGAATATAGTTCCTTTTAATTAGAGTGTATTTTTTCTTAATTTTTTTTCTTTCCTTTCCTCACTCATTTCTTAGTTTTTTTAGGGTGGAAATAAAAGAAGAGAGGTGAAATAAACTTTTGGATGTTGTATTCTAACTGATTTTGATATGGAAAGAGTGATTAGGCCAGGTGCAAAAAGGTGATATTTACAGTTTTCGGAACATCTCTTGACTTGTCCATAGGGGTATGGATGTGTATTGGCTAAATTTGTAAGAGTCATTGGTTCAATCTTTCTGAATTTTGTATATATTTTTGGACTAGTACTATACATTACACACACAAAAGATTTGACAAAAATGCAAGGTGCAATTTTTTTAATGAAACAAAACGTTATAAAGAACTAATAGGGGAATTTAATTGTGGTCTGTGGCCTAAGAGGTGAATTCAGGAAATATTGAATTTGTACTTTGACAACTTCCCTGATTGATCTATTGGTATTAATTTGTCAAACTACATGAGAATAAATGATTTCCACTTTTATTTGATAGAAATTTTGTAAAAAAGTGACATTTCAGCCTACATGCCAAAAATTGAACTTTTTCAGTTGTTTCAATATTTTTACAAAAGTAGCATGCTTACTTTCTCTCTGACAGATTTTTCTGGTTTTCTATTTGTGTTTGTGGTATCTAATGTAGATGTTTAACTCATTTTTGAACACTGAACACAAAAAAAAGTAGATAAAATCAGAATAAGAGTGCAAAATGTGCTGCTTTAATGGTCTTAGTCTAACGGTCAGTATGAAGCAAGTGAAAAATGAGGTTCTATGCACATACAAGTTGAATTCCTTTTAGCAGATTTCACTGAATCTGTATCAAAAGCACTTATTTCTGGTTGTTTGACCTTGTCTGTTTCACAGACTACCTTTATTTTCTTTTGTTTAATAGCTAGTGGTTAAAATATTGGCCTTTTGAGGCTGAAATTTCATGCCGGTTTTAAAAAGTAATGTAAATAACATTGCATCAAATCATACTGTCTACATATATAGTTGAAAGTGACAGTCTTGTTACATCCAGGCTCCATGTTTTATTATATCTAAACAAAGATTTGAGCAAAAAGAAGCATATCTCTATCTCCCATATCATTTATATGCTTTTTAATATGCAAATGTGGGGAACGACCTAAATTGACAACCTGTTTTTTTAAGCTTGACATTGCTGAAGACCATTTTATTCACATGTGTTATGCTATTTGAAACTTATATTTCCATTAAAAGTACATTTATAACATGTAAAAGGTTTTTTTATAACTTAACAACTTCAGAAAATTGTGGTAAGTGAAAAATATTACATTTCATATAAGGCCTCACTTCATTTGAAAACCTCTATTTTTTGGCACAGGCTCATATAAAATTTACTTCTGGCCATTTTTTATAAGTCTGAAACATGAAGTATGCTATCTGTTTCTTTTAATAGGTGATAACTTATACATAGAGACACTAAAAAGTGTAAGTTTTGGTATATTTTGGTTTTTAGAAGCCCAAACTTGATAGTTGAAATTGTTCTAATTCAACGCCACAATTCAGCACCCAAAGTTCAGATATAAAAAATGCCACATTTTTTTATAATTGGTATCATATGGCTTTGAAACTTTGTAAACTGTTTTATAATACACTAAGCTTAAATCATGCCAAGTTTTATTAGAATTGGTCAAGTTTTAGACCCCTAATAGGCCCAAGACCACAATTAATGATCCCGCTTTTCGTTGTCCACGAATATAGTTCCTTTTAATTAGAGTGTATTTTTTCTTAATTTTTTTTCTTTCCTTTCCTCACTCATTTCTTAGTTTTTTTAGGGTGGAAATAAAAGAAGAGAGGTGAAATAAACTTTTGGATGTTGTATTCTAACTGATTTTGATATGGAAAGAGTGATTAGGCCAGGTGCAAAAAGGTGATATTTACAGTTTTCGGAACATCTCTTGACTTGTCCATAGGGGTATGGATGTGTATTGGCTAAATTTGTAAGAGTCATTGGTTCAATCTTTCTGAATTTTGTATATATTTTTGGACTAGTACTATACATTACACACACAAAAGATTTGACAAAAATGCAAGGTGCAATTTTTTTAATGAAACAAAACGTTATAAAGAACTAATAGGGGAATTTAATTGTGGTCTGTGGCCTAAGAGGTGAATTCAGGAAATATTGAATTTGTACTTTGACAACTTCCCTGATTGATCTATTGGTATTAATTTGTCAAACTACATGAGAATAAATGATTTCCACTTTTATTTGATAGAAATTTTGTAAAAAAGTGACATTTCAGCCTACATGCCAAAAATTGAACTTTTTCAGTTGTTTCAATATTTTTACAAAAGTAGCATGCTTACTTTCTCTCTGACAGATTCTTCTGGTTTTCTATTTGTGTTTGTGGTATCTAATGTAGATGTTTAACTCATTTTTGAACACTGAACACAAAAAAAAGTAGATAAAATCAGAATAAGAGTGCAAAATGTGCTGCTTTAATGGTCTTAGTCTAACGGTCAGTATGAAGCAAGTGAAAAATGAGGTTCTATGCACATACAAGTTGAATTCCTTTTAGCAGATTTCACTGAATCTGTATCAAAAGCACTTATTTCTGGTTGTTTGACCTTGTCTGTTTCACAGACTACCTTTATTTTCTTTTGTTTAATAGCTAGTGGTTAAAATATTGGCCTTTTGAGGCTGAAATTTCATGCCGGTTTTAAAAAGTAATGTAAATAACATTGCATCAAATCATACTGTCTACATATATAGTTGAAAGTGACAGTCTTGTTACATCCAGGCTCCATGTTTTATCATATCTAAACAAAGATTTGAGCAAAAAGAAGCATATCTCTATCTCCCATATCATTTATATGCTTTTTAATATGCAAATGTGGGGAACGACCTAAATTGACAAC